AAGTGATAGTAATTGTTAACTACGGTTATAACTGTTTTAAACCGCGTTGTTAACAGACAAATACACAATAATGTAGATAGATAAGAATATATTATAATTTATTTTCAATACAAATAAAACTATTTGTGTTAAGCATTTATGTTAATTTTCAATAAAATTCAATATAATACTCGTGAATAAATATTTAGTGAAATTTGTATCTTCTTGGGGACTTTTACAATTTAGCGCTATTGAAAATATTGTCTATATTATACTGGCTATACGTTAATCTGGTCCCGAGTATACCCTATGGGAACACTACTGAATATTATTATTATGGTTAAGAGTTTTTTTGATTTTGCAAAAATTATGTGATTTTTGAGTATTTAAGTACTTGCTGACGAAAAAACCCCCATTATTGCCGCGCAATTTTTGTCGAATTACGAACGCGATCTATAGCGACAGAACTAATATTCATATTTTATACTACAGGTAATTGAGGCTTCGTCACTATAATATAATACCAATCTACCGTAATAGAGCGAATAAAATTAACGAAGTCTAACAAGACGACGAAAAAAAAAAAAAAAAAAAACAATATACCTGCTTCTACGTAATATACTATGCCGACCTATACAAACCTTGGAATGGTGGCAATAAATTATTCGCAACACGGTATGGAAATGAAGGATAGGATTATATTATTTTAGGACGTCGGACAACGGATCGGTATACGATTCGAGGCACTTTCAAAGGAGGGTTTCTGTATCCAAATGAGCACACAGTAAATCACTTAATAAGTCTGTTGGACACTCAGTAGTATTATAGATTTAGCTTACTGTGTGTCCACTAGAAAATAAATGGTAAATACTCACTCATAATTGAATTATTTGAATTAGTACATTTTTTGTAGGCAATATTCTCATTGGCGAAGGATCAGTAGCTGGGGAAAATCCAAAAGTTAAAGGCAAAGTCTGGTCTATCTGCTCATGAAGACTTTTTTAAGAACTTTTTTTATTCACACAGTGGATATATTCACTAAAAATATGTTCTAGGGCAATGGAGTCACTGTTATAGGTGATATTTAATGTATATTTGTAAGCAACGATAAACCATTGCTAACGAAAAAACGATTCTGAGCGCAGATCAGTTGATAGTGATGCTTTGCTAACAATATATATGTCATATTGTAGTAAAATAATTAAATAAGCAATATAAATTTTCTTTAATAATATTTATTTAATATTGTAACGAATTTCCCGTTTTTCCCATGTTTTATCCAGGTTTTTCACATTTGCTGGGAAAACTCTTGGGAAAATCAGAAAATTGCCTCCCTAAAGTACCTCCCCAGTCAGATTTCCTTTTAAAAAAAATGTTACCATTTTAAATCGGAAAGAAATTACAGGTAGAAAAGTTTGCACAACAAATCGAGGAGTATTTAGAAAAAAACGAAATAAGCTATAATTTCGAAACTTAGTCAGTCTACTTAATTTCGATTTCTCCATCGTTTTTAAATAGGAAATATACATATATTCAAAAACAAAAATTGATAAATTAGATTTAGTTAATAATTTAATAATTTTAATTTTAATTTCACATAATTTTTTACTCAAACGATTTTCGTCAAAATTTGAAATTAAAATTTTCCTATAAAAAAAAAATACTACATTAAACTCAATTTTTTTTTTTTTTGACAACAAAGTAAGATTCTTAATGAACCTTCTGTTAAATTTAAAAGGATTTTTGTTCAAGTCTAACAATTTTACCACAGAGTACCTACCGAATAAAAATTACGTAAAAACTCTCAAAATTAAAATTTTAATAAAGCTTAAAAATGGCTCAAATGTTTTGAACATTTTACCTTGTTTAGAAAAGGCAAATATAAATTTTAAGTCTCTATGAATATTTTTAACTGAATTATAGTTGAAAATTACAACTGAAATACAGAATTAAATTGAAAAATAATAAAAGCATTATTATGTATTATAGTATTGATTGCGTATACTTAGTATTTTCATGATAAGGACATGGGGATTGACTTAGTCTTTTCAAATCCTCCTTTACTCACGCCTATTAAGTTCGGCCTTCTGAAATACTTTCGATTTTTTTTTAACTGGTTTCAAAAATAATTTGACATTGATATTTTAATTTTGTAACAACCTTAAGAAGTTACTCAATATATATTGTATAAGATTTACTTATTTATACGAGTATTTAAATGAAATACCTTAAAAATACGTTTAACTTAAAAGTTTACCCTCTTCTATATAGGTACCTACTAAAAAAGGTGACGAAAAAAAAAAAAAAACGATAAAAATGAATTATGATATACGCTCGTGAAGAGTTTTTTTTTCGTAAAAGGCTCTTTGAAAAATGTGTCCCTGTAGACCGACACTGATATTGTTGCGATAATAATAATTAATATAGTAGGTAAGTACCTGTAACCGTACAAACTCTAGGTGAAATAGCTGAAAATATAATTTATTATATTACAACTGTGTGTAGTTACTGTAAGGCACATACGCATAAAATTATAAACGTGTATTATAATTTTGTAAACATAATAAATATTATAAGATAAAGTTTCATTTTTTTTATTCTTTTTCAAAAATATATTACGAATATAACACCGCGCGCATAGTGTAATAATATAGTGAACGGTAGTCCGTAGGTATAAATAAAAACAAAATATGTTATGCGAGTAATAATAATCCCCAGCGGCGGTACAGTCTGTTCTTTTTTTGAAACGTTATATTTTATTTATCACGACTATATAATATAAACTTGAATTTTATTTCATGATGTTGCCCGTTTATATAATAATATGCTTTTCCGCGATATTGTTTTCTGCGCGTATTTTTTTTCTCGATAAAAAAAATAAAAACACCGCAGGAAACAGTAAAATTATTCGTATAAAGCTTCCTTAATATTAAGAGATACAGTGCGTGTATCTGAATCGACTAACACACTCGATAGTAGGTCAGGCATTCATCTATAATTCTGTAATTAATGTAATTAATATAGGATCATAGCCAAATAGCCCGAATATTTCGGGAGGTTTAGGCCCCCATAAGCAGTGGCTATTTGTTCAGAATTTTCATTCATGTCTTTGAGTTAGAGATATTTATATATATACAAGGGTGTTGACAGAAATCAAAAATCTCAATACCGCGAAATAAGCAAAATGTATTGTACAAAAAATGGGTAGTCGTTTCATTTCGAAAAATAAGAATAACAAGAAAAATAACGGTAATATAACGTTTTAGATCTATTTGTTTTATAAGCTGTAAAAAAAAAAAAATCCGAAAAAGTAAATACTTTCGGAGATAATGAATGTCTTATCGAGGATTGATTACACTGTAAATAGGTAAATAAATTTGAAAAAAAAAATGTTTTTCTTACAACTGTTGTCATGAGACTTATGAGACCTTTAATGCTCATACAGATACTATTTATAGCAAAGCCTTAGGTTCTATTGGCCTTTTAAAACGAAACTGTTCTGATTTTAAAGACATTAGATATCTTAAAGTACTATACTGCTCTTTTGCGAGGTCAATTTTAGATTTTTATAGCTATGGATTTAGGTCTTGAACCATTGGCTTCCATTCGGGTGTTTAATGACGTGACTTTCATACATAAATTAATTTATAACATTCCATGTCTTGAGTTATTAAAAATAATAAACTTTATGGTTTCAGCCTTTAATTCTAGAAATCACTACCTCTTTTTGCTTCCAAATTGCTCTAATAATATTATCAAGTTTAGCCCGGGGTACCGTCTTTTAGATTTATGTTACATTGTGCCAAATTAAAAAAATTGTATTAAATAACCAAACTTAATTAGCTTAGCTTTTTAGTATTAATTATCTTTATGAATAATTTTACGCGAGTTTGTTGTGGGTAGTTTCAAACTATTTTATTCTGTATACATTTCTTATTGTCTTTGTACTGTACTATTTACTCTTTCGGGGTGTTAAAACAACAATAAATAAATAAATAAATAAATACACGTGTAGAACCTTGTGGAGTCGTGGATCGTCTATGATAAAATAGCAGGTGCATATTTTAATTTTTCTTAGTGCAAATTTGGGATTTCGTGGTACACACAAAAATAGCCACTGCCCAAAAGTATTATAATTTGTTGGTGTACGCCTTCTGGCATTTGTTCAAGCAAACAATATACAAATAGATTAAACAAGCTTAAAACGAACATACTGCATTTTGTATAACTAACATAAGCATATAGAATTACAACTAAATAGTGGATAAGGAGTAAATAGTATCTGGACAATACAAGGAACATAGTGATCGCAGGGTGAAGAGGGTAATTTAACCCACCCGTAAGGCTGCAATGGCTGGTGTAACAGAAAACGGTAAAGGTAATTGATTATCGTTGGTTAGAAGGCGTCGCGGAAAGAGTTCGAGGATAGAAATTATAGCGCCGAGAGCATCGGTGAATCCATCGAGAAGAGAGGAAATGAAGGATAGGTCATCCTGTGTCATCAATAATATTGATTATGAATATTTATAACTATAATAAGTATTAAAACATATTATTATGTAGTATTCACTTGATAAGGATTTGATTACGAGGGAATGGACTGAGTTTAGGACTCAATCTTTCCCCAATCCTGTATGTGCGTTAGACTTTTGTCTTTTTCGACATTTCGGTTTGTCCGTCATGTACATCAAACTAGTATTACGCTATTACTCAAAATTAAAAATACTAACAAATTTTAAGATTTCTACGGATTTTGAATATAAGTGATTGAACTATATTACTGTATAATATTATTATTATGTTTTTATATTTTTATAAAAATACATGTCGTTTTATTGTTATAGTTATGATTCATCAGTCAATTTCAATTATAAAAATGTCAACTAATATATTAAAATGTGTGACGAAAAATATAACAAAAACGCTGCACGTGTGCTAAAAAAAAAAAAAACTACTTTTCTACTTCAATACACGTACACATATTAAAAGTTAATTTATATTAATATAATTAAATCTAAAATATTATAACATATTAAGGTGATATATTTTGAAAATAAAAACGTGTTATATAATTATTAGATGTAAAATAATTTATCAACTAAAGTGTTAATGGTTAAAAGTTATTACTAAAACTAAACGGAATAATAAAATTAAAATGTTTCTATATAAGGTTTAGCTACCGATTATTATATAATGTTAATGATTGATAAAAATTCTTCTGTCACCGGAAAATAATATTTTGTGTAAATGGACCGCAAAGTCACTAAACGGTTCTTTCGGCAAAATTAGATCGCGGTTTACCTGCGAAACAACGTTATTAACAATAGTTTATTATTCCAATAGGTGTATTAGCCATTAGGTATATTCAGTGGTTAATGTGTGCGTGTGCGGGAGGTGGTGAAGTGGAGGATAATGGATTCCCCTTATGGAGTGTTCTTATCAGTTCCCCCTAGTTTAAATCTCCTATGTCCGGGGGACGCATTAGTGCCTTAAGTCGATAATGCTGTAATCGTATGTCTTATGAAATTTTTACAAATACTGTTGTAATTTCAAAATATTTTGTTTTAGGTTCGAGTACACAGAACGCGGTTTGTAATAATATATTTATTTATACGCGGAAACGTTGCATTTGAAATCACGCAGAACCGTATATATGTATACAATTTTGCGCAATTTCGATGGAAAATTTTGCGCAATCGTTCTTCGCCGACTTTAGTTATTGTCACTGGGACATTTTGAAAACTCGAATTAGTTTTATTGACAATAAATTCTTTAATACCTATACTAGATAATACGAAATCATGATTCTGTTTTTTTTTTTTTTTTTTCTTTACTGCGCATACAAACGCGTGGGATGATATTTAAGGGAGGGGGGTGCAGTTTATTTTTTTAAATCCTATAAGTATAATATTTTTCTTGTGTGAGAGAAAAGCATTTTGAAAGTGTTTTTTTCCATAATAGGTTTTCAAAAAATTAAGTCAGTCTACGAGAACGACTCTAAATTTTCGGTATATATAAAGTCTCTGAGAGACTGCGTATAAAACAGGGAAAAACCTCTAAAATAGACTGTCTTAGAAGTTTTTCGAACTTTAACCACTGTGACTATATTTAAATTTGTTTGAATACTTACAGATTTACAGTTTAAACCTCAGTGGTTTCGGTTTTGAACGTATAGTTAGATACTATCATTGATCCGCTCCGGTCGTCGTTCACCGAATTATATCGCGGATGCGCGATTTTCGGATCGTTCAAGGGGCATTTGTCCGACATCGTCCGGGGACGTTTTTTTTTTTTTTTTATAAGACCAAAAAACCCAATTGTAATGATACCCTGAAAGCATAATAATACAATTAATACAACTAATAATTATAACATTGTATACCTATTATTATAAGAATCCATCGTACGTTTTTCATTTGTTTTGTTATTAGCGCGACGGTCAAAATAATATAGTGTTAATCGATTTCAGAATAATTTGTATACAAACCAACTAAATAATTTTAAATTTTCAAAAAAAAAATTTATCATCATTTGGTTTTGTTAAAATTGACAACTGAAGTCTAAAATTGCAAAAATAATATCGTAGGCACCTCGTTATCTGTTTCTTACAGTATACCTATTTATTATTTTAATATTAATTTTCCTTTATAGTAACAATACCAGTATACCCTTGTAGTTTTCAAAATATACGTCAAAGTAGTGAAGGAAATATTTTCGCAAGTTGCCACGGCTACAATTAAATTAATACGGTTATTATTATAGCTTTGTTTAGTGAGTTAAACATGTCGTTCTAGCGAAATCGACACACGGTGAGTCGATAGTAAAATAAAAAAAAAAGCGCTTGATGATGCGTAAGCACCTCTCGCATCCCCCTTGGCACAGCCTTGAGTACAGTTAATTATTTTGGCGCCAAAGAAAGAAATTTCGAGTAAAATTTTCTATAGAGAAATTGTATGTGACTGTTGTGTGTTATAAACGCGATAATATACAGAATACAGGCCGTATTTTACGTTTGACCATATGTTTTCGTTAGGCATAATATGTATAATGAAAGTGTAAACTGATTAGAGTTGTTTTTATCGATATCGCGTAATGGTTTATAGAAAACTATGCAGATGAAAAACTGCAGACCAAAACTGATTGAGAATGATCAAAAGGGCTTACGGGATTTTTTTTATTTTTTAAACTTTCAATATCGTTCATCTCGAACACTCGAGAATAAAGCTTATGCCTTTTTTCCCTGACACCGATGCATTATAATATTGTCTCGGTTATTTTTCGTATTAAACATCAAGATAATATAATTTATTAGGTTCTCTTGATATCCACTGAAAACTAAATACAAACTTTAAAGTTTCGACAAACTCTAAACACACTTTCGTTAAATTAAAATTAATAATCTGATTGAAATATACAAAATAGCGCGGGGGTTTAATAAAAAAAGAAGTCGTTATTGATTTATTAACGTATTCTGAACATTATTATAATGTGGTGAAAGAACTTTTCGAAAGATCAATTTCGTATAACCTTGATTTATTTAGTAAATGTATAGAATATTATCATTGAATATTGATAATAATATGAATCGATCATATTTATTAATTATTTAATCATATCGATTGAATCAGAAATCAATGATATTATTATACTTACCACTACTAAACACAACACGCCCATTGTAGTCATGCACACTGAAAACCCAAAATGTTGTAAAAGAACGCCTCCCAACGATGGACCGGTCATATCGCTGAAACGATTGAATAATATTATTGTAAGTTAACATACACAGGCGTTAATTATACGTACTGATGAAAAATGTGGTACTTCTAGAAAAAAATAAAAATTAACGAAAACAGTGTTTTCCATTTCAAACGGTTAAAAACGTATAGGTACTCAGTGGCGTGCCCGAGAATTTCCAACAGGAGAAGGGGTGTATTCAAATATAATAATCGTAAATAAATTTTATACTATATACGAATATACCTAACTGGACAGTAAAACGGAATTATAAATCTCCAAAAAATTAATTTGTATTCGATATGTCGAATTTTTCATGCTTGTATACATCGTCTGTGATGTATATTTTTAGTTTCAGGGAAGAAGGGCTTATTTTTTTTTTTATACTTGGATAGTGGTGAATTTTATTATGATGCACTTTTTGTTTGAAAAAAAAAAGGCACTAGTTGTGTAATTATTTGATTTGAACCATTTATAACGTCTGCATTTAGGGGTACGGGCATTGAATAATAATTTATTGCTGTTTAACTATTATTATGGCATTGTGCCGTTAAGTTATTATCAAAATGTAATTTGCTTGTGTTGAAAAATATACAAAATCGATTTCTTTCAATTTTTCACGGAACCCAAGGTGTATACATGTATATAATAAAATAGGTTTCGAAACTTAATCTTAGGCACCTACATATATATAGTAAACAAATATCAACTATAATAAACGTAGCTTTTGTATTTTCAAGCCACCGACGAGGGAGGGAGAAGAGGGTACGCGTGGATATATGTTTTTGATTACGAATTTTCGACGACTGTAATAAAAATAATATACCCGAGTGAATAAGCCGACGACCAAAATCCGGCGACCGTGCCGAACGTAGAGATGCTTTCTTGAAATCCGTTATCTCTGGGGGTAAAATTAAAAAAAAAATAACATCAAATACAAATATAATAAACGTCCTCGACAAATTAAATCGATTCATTTTATTTGATTACTGCAAACTGTGCAAATAATTGACTTACATCGCACTCGACAAAATGAAATTGAATGCCGGCATCATGGTCAACGATGCGGACAGGCCCAGAATTCCAAGTCCCACCAGATTCAACCACAGAACACTAAAATAATAATAATAATATTAGTTAATTAATAATTGTGTAAAATAAATTACCCGAATAATTAATATTCTATGGCCAGAGTAATGATATTTTAACGCCGCCGTAGCCGCACTATTTACAAACATCAATTATGATCAGGAAACGGATGTATATGCAATTAAAATCAGCGAAAAAGCGCTTAAAAACGTTTTAAAAGACCCATAAAGAGCGAGACATGAAAAAAAAAAGCGAGAATGGCAATGGGGTTTTAACGGCAAAAAACTTATTAAATACGATTTTCTAACTTTAAAAAAATGATTAACACAAAGCGATTTGTTTTAAATAGATTTTTACGTATATATTGTTCAAAAAATTACGTTGTGTTAATCATTTTTAAAAGTGTTAGTTAGTTTTTAATTATTCGTTATAGCCATTTGAAAAGAAACTTTTAAAACCCCTCTATCAATTTTGCTTTTAAATAAATATTGTATAAGTGCTTTTTTGACGTTTATAAGCGCTTTTTCGTGGATTTAAATGCATACAAATGCGTTCTTTTATTATGATATTATTATTTTTAATTTTCTACGAGGACATTATATTAAATTTATCGTTAAGGTCATTCGTTCGTATAACGTGTAGTGACGTAGCCAGACATTTTGTGCGGGGTAAGGTAAATATTCCCTTCACTTACCCTTTTTGTAAAATCGCAATTGTAATAAATTGTGCAACAAATTATTATAAATAAAAAAAAAAAATCAATGTGATACTCAATGGCATAAGGTAGGTTCTGTAAGGTCACGGCTGTCAATTAATACATCGATTTAATATTCGATCGAACAACAGCTATTTATGATTCTCTACATAATATATATTGTCTGCAAGACGGTCAATTGTTATATTAATTGAAAAAAAGAAAAAATAACAATAATAATTAAACACAGAAAGAGCGTTGCTGTTTTTAGGACCGTTATTTCGCTCGACAAATTTAAATTTAAATTATTCGCGTTGATTGCAATTTATCGATCCGACGACTCGCTACACGGCAGTCTGCAGATCGAATCAAAAACAGAAACTATTAAAAACAACAATAACAAAACCGAAGGACGTCGCAATTAAAGCTTGGACGTTAAATACGTACACGCACCGAAAATTCGTGCGTTCAAAATCGAAACAAATTATACATCGTTACTCTTGTTTGAACTCTACTAAATTATTTATTAAAATAAATTAAAACAACGTATCTTATTATACGGGCAGGTCAGTGATGAAGTCTCGCGAACGCTCGGTAATTGATATTTTTTCACGTTGTAATTTAAATATTTCGAGAATATTTAAAAAACAGTGGCCGAAAAATCACCACGAAAAACATTTCGGTAACATTATTGTTGACTAATTCGAATATTCTCTAAAAACTGTTATTAAACAAATAATGTTGCCTAAAGATTCTAAGAAAATTAAATTGTTGCCCGGGCAGTCGAATTTTGCGCTATTGTGTATTTTCGGACGCCCATACAGACCCTCATCCAAACAAACCCGACCGCTTTATGTTTGCCGAACGGTATAATTGCCCGAGGATGTGCCCTTTGGGGGTTTCGAACCCCTCCCTAACTATTTTTATGCTCAAATTTTATGATTTCGCATGCAATACCGGGTTTCAAATATCTACCCCAATACGCATACTATAAAACGTAATGCGATTCTGGCAGCCATAACTATATTTTAGACCTATGTAATTTGAAAAAAAAAAAAAACAAAAACTAATGAATTGTTGTAACGATGCCAAGTCGGTTGGGGGAAAATTCGATTCCGCAGTGACGGAGCCACTTATCGCGGCCACGGGCGTTCTGTACGGATATTATTATTATTATTATTGTATGATGGTAAATGTGTTCCGTGTTGACGGGTTTCTTGTATTTGTGTATTGTGCAACCGAGTGCGGGAGATTGTGCATAAAAATCGCGCGGCAGATACGCGATACCAGCTGTATACCACGCGTGTATGGGCGTGTAGTGTAGGCGCACGCTCGAAATTATCGAACACGCAATTATATTATGCAAAACAAACAGTTTGCGGATTTAAAAAAATCCTCGACCGTCCGTCGGTGTCGTCGTTATCGTTATAAAACGATAGCTGACCGCGCCAGTGAACAACTCGCATTGAAATCCGAGCGCTCTCCCTCTCTCTCTCTCTCTCTCACACACACTCTGTACACGTATTACGGTCGTATAATTATAAATTTATGACATATTGGTTTTTTGCGATGCACTTACTCTTTATTCACCGGTAACCAGGACAGCGGAGCCAATATGAACAGCCCGATCGCCGACGCGATCAGTCCTACGGCCATCATTGACCAATGGTTGTTGTATTTGTCGGCCATGTAACCCCAAAACGGACTGGACAACCCGTACAGTATCGAACAGAACAGAAACACGAGTCCCACCTCGTCGGTCGATAAACCCATCTGCGAATATTTTCGTTGAAAACGGCGCATTTTTTTATTTTATTTTTTTTCCTTATCCTTAGAATTATTACATATTATATAGGTACGCGCGCCATATTATACATTAATCGTGTATAACGCTACACGTATTATTTATTGTCATATTTATTTATTGTGTTACAGGCGCGAGGACCGCGGTGTACCGCGACCCGGGACGGTCGCGATGCCCGCATTAATTACCGTCTCGGTCCGACCAACGGGCAACGTATTTTATCGTAGTGAAATTACGTTACTTAAAATGGTTAAAACACAATACGAGTATTGTTGCGGCGTTCGGGTTACAATTAGAGTTTAAACGCGAACGGCGAGATGTCGAGAATTCGTCCCGTATGGACGAGGGCTTCATACGTGGCTCTTTTATTGAACAAACGATTTAAGTTACTGGAAAAAAAAAATAGAAAACAAAAACTAACGCGGCTGACTACGACAGCTGTTTTGTACGGGATTTTTTTCAGAAAGAAAGCGCAACCCTCGAGTAATATTCTTCTTGTTATTTGCGTTTCAAATTCTAATTTCAACCTAAACGCGCATACAATCCGTATAATATATTTTCTAAGTAACGTATAATGTATCCTGCCAACTCGTGTGTGTTGTTGGTAAGACGGAGACGGCACACGGGTGCGTGACGTCATCTGAAAAATTTTAAAATATCGTTTTCTCGAAATGATTTCTATTAAAAATGTGTGTACATCTGGTAATGTGCGACCGGGGCAGCTGAATTCGCACAAACTAAGCCGCGGTGTACTAAGCCGCTAGGTCACGTTTATCTTTGGCCAGTGTACCGTTTTCTAGGAATATTTTTTTTTCTCTCTCTAGTGTAGTAGCTGCGGCGGCGGCGGCGGCACCGATTGGCGGGATTTGGAGAATTCCCATTAAAAACGAAAACGCGTTTTCCGAGAGAAATAAACAATCGCGCATAGTGAACTACGCGCACCGTATTATGAGTAAAAAGCTATCCGTCCTGCACTCGGGATCAATGTGACAAATTGAAAATCGTACGCAGTAAAATATGATGTTTTAGAACAGCCGTTATTCGCTTATCTTTTTTTTTCTTTTTTTTTTATTTGAAACACATTCGCGTTACCCACCTGCATTTATATGATTAATGCGCGGGGTAGGGAGACGTGTAAGCGCATTTAAATCCGATACCTACATCGTAATACGCACACAGCTGTACGTAATATCAAATTATGGGGAGGCGTACAGTAATTTATCATTTGCTTTAAAACGCGTTTAAATTGGATTGTTCGTAATTAATCGAGTTAATAATATAATACAGTAGGTGTACTATAACGCGAACGCGAGTTATTTTTAATTATACGAATACATCACGTAAAAAGCAAAAATAATAATTTGTTCGTATGCGGAATGCTGAGTATTTTTTGAATTCCGCATTTCAGAATAAGTCCACGTAACAAATTACGATATTAAACTGTATTAATTATTGCGTTACTCGCGGGCGTAAAATAAAAATGCTGCAGACGATGATGGATGTGCCACTGTTTTCGGAAGGAAGTCGGAAGGGAAGATTTTATGTAGAGTAATTTAATCTATAACCGTACGCGACGATAAACCATTGCTAACGAAAAGCGATTCTGAAAGGACAATCGTATTTTAGATTCTGAGCGGAGCGAGGAATGTATATTGGTTTTACGATGTTTATCATTGTTATTATTTTTTTCTGCGGACAACTTTTCTGCCAGCAATTTCGCTCCGATTCACAACGACAGCACTTTTTCCAAAAGGAAATCTGACTGGGTAGGTACATTAGGGAGGTCATTTTTAGAAGTTTCTCAGGAGTTTTACCAATAAAACGGAAGAAAAACCGGAAAATGGGTACAATATTAAACAAATATTATTGAAGAAAATATGTAATTACTTTACCATAATGTGAAATGTATTATATTGTTGACAAAGCAACACTATCAACTGTACACCGCTCAGAATCGCGTTTTCGTTAACAACCGTTAATCGTTGCTTACAGATATATATTAAATCACCTATAACTGCAGCGGCTGCACCCGTCCCCATTATCCTGTAGGACAGCTTTTTTCCATTGTTGCCAAGGTAATCCGGAAATAATCAAAAATTGCTAGTTTTTCTCATTTACTATGGAAAAAGCCACAAGAAAAATCAAACGCATAAACTATAGACCGAAAATTCTCTAAGAAAGTTCCTATAAGGTATTTAATTGGAGCGAAATTGTCTCGTCGAAAATTCGTTTATAGACGCACACACAAAATAAAACATACATATAATCATGTTCAAGTAGTGTAATCAATACATTTCTCGCGTCTCATTAAGAATCAAAAAACGTGTGTTCAAGCCGAGTATTATATTTGTGCATGTAGAATTATGCAGTCGCATTATGTCGCGGTAAGAACTGCTGTATTATATTTTTTTTTTCGACATTTTCTTTATGGAAATAACACACGGACAATTATATAGTATTATACGTTACATCGTCGTTCTTATATTTTTCATCCTATTGAAATGTTATCTTCAAACGGACAACAGAAACAGCGCAATAATTGTATTATTATGAAAAATACAATGCGGACATATCTATGTAAATGACGTTATTTTGGCGATAATACGATTATTGTGTTACAAGAAAAAAAGGTTACACAACGCATAATAACGTTTTGTCCGTTTTTGACTCGACAAACAAAACAGAAATTTAGTATACCCAGTGGCGGATATGGCTATTTTCTATTGCCGGGAGTTGAATTCCGATTAATTCGAGAGCGCATGATAAGCACGAATGGTATTTAAAAATTTTGGAGGGGTGTATCTATTTCAGAAAAAAAGGCCATACCAGTATAATTGTTTTAATTAGGACTTAGCAAATCCAAATCTAAAATCAAATTTCGTAATCACGGGACAAGGGCCGGTCACACAATATTAAACACGGGCTGCAGGGATCCGACGGGGTGGTGAGAAATTATTCGAGTGAGTATATTGAGATAATATATATTAGAGATATAATATATTATACATAATATTATTGCGTATAAACGACAATAATTATTGTCTAGCACGGTTAAATAGCTATAGAGTTTTGATGTTGTGAACCGTTGCACGTTTTGATAATCATTACACATCGCCGATTTGATGACATGCGCGTTGAAATTTCGCGGACCGAAAACTGGTAACTGACGGGGATTTTCATCACCGGATTTCTGTGCTAGTTATAATAATGCGTAATATCTAGGGTTCGGATGTTTGTGTACTTAAAATAACTGTAATATGTATGCATTTACGCACTAAAATATTACCAGATATGCAATCAAAATATGCACCAAAAATCATAAAGTATACATTTTTAGTTAAAAAAAAAAAAAAACACCAAAATACGCACACAAAAGTTTATGTTACCTTAAGTATTTAATTTTTATTTGTAGTTTTTAGATTATGAGTGGAGCGAAGAAGCTTAAGGGTTTTTAGTAGTTATCTTTATTTATTTTTTTTAATAATATAAATATTAATTTACAATAAAATCGGGTCGAAGTGTAGTACAATAGTTTTTTTAATTTGTTCAAATTGCGCGCTATATCGCTTTATATTTTGATATTTATTTAAATTGTTTTTAAAAAAAAGTTGGAAAATGTATTGAAATATGCATATATGTTCATATAAATCCTAAAATACAAAACCATAAAATATGCAAAGTAAAAATAGTATTATTCGATTCAGCGGAACACGAATCGAATTTGTATCCAGGTCAGCATTTAATTGGATAAACAGAAAAAAAAAAAAACGCAATTTCATTAACATCCGAACCCTAGTATAATGTGTAACCGATAAAATCACAGCCGGTGACGGCCGCGATGACACCGTACCACAACGTAACCATCACACCGATATACATATTATTATTATTATATTTTTTTTTATCCATATGACTAATATAGATTATAGTGAAATATATAAATATACATAAAAAAAAGCAATATATTGATGTTGTTATTATATATACCTCTCGTAAATGCGGTTCGAGCGTTGGATCGAGCGAAGCCCAAAAATTAGAAGTAACCGAAATTACCGCGCCGACCACCAGAGCCGATGGGATTATTAGTAATTTCATTACCCCTTTAGACCGGCTTCCAACGGCTTGTGATGCTTTTACGTTATCTATATAGGTACAAAATTATTTTATATACATATTTTTTCAAATTTTTTTTTTTTAGAATTATGTACCTACACATAAGCGGATATTAAAATATTAAATCAGTGTAGGTACATGTAAATGTATAAAATGAAATCGTTTTGAATTTGAACCCGATAAACATAAAACGGTTATATAATAAATTACCTTTGATCGGGGGCATGAGATAAATGTGCAGCGGTACCGTGGCGACCATTATGAGACCTACAACGAAAAACGGCATAGCGTAACCTCCTACCTATATATATAAATAATAAAAAAAAAAAACAAAACAAAAAAAACCTTGTCAAAATAACGGATTTAAAAAAAAATATACAAATGATTAATTCAGCTATAATGAGCGACGATGATGAAACATATTTTGTATTACTTACCGAAGATAACAATCCTCCGATTGCAGGTCCGACACTCATTCCCAAACCGACAAACGTTTCTAGTATACCCTGTGTGTAATTAGTTAAAAAAAGAGCAGATTATTGACAAGTCGTAAACAGTAGGTGCGATTGGACGGACTGAGTACCACCGAAATATAATATTTCAAGTAATCACGGCAGTATTTTACTATTCGGTAGTAGGTAACCAGAAATTCACGGTACGCAAATTAACTTGTTCGTCCGTTCAAAGTTCAAAATATACTCGTAAGTCGTAATATGAACGAAACGTGAATTTAAAGTTTATACTTCGTTCGAATCGACCTTTTTTTGAACTACAAGATCATAATATCTAATATCTTAGTTAATATACATTTTAAATAAACAATCAAAGGGCGATTATTTTTTTCACCCATAAATCGACTTCGCGACTAAAATAAAGAAATTAAGCGATTCGCGGCGCGTGCGCCTCGAAAACGTCCCCCACTCCGAGTTAAGAAATATTGAAATTGCGTTTACGAAACGGTAGGAAAAAAATAATATATTCTAGCAGGTTGCTGTACTCACCAAGACGCCGCTGACGTTATCCGGAAATATTTGAATGACGTAAACGAAACTCGACGTAGAAAATGCACTGGCTCCGATCGCTTCCAGTCCTCGGACCACGAAGCAGAGCACTTTAAATTGGAAGTTGTCCTCGATCATCGGCAGTAGCCTGAAATAATTAACGATAGTAAAAATATGTACCTCTACTCGCAGTGGTGGATTTCCGGAGGGGGGAGGGGGTCCAGGGGGTCTGGAAAATCCGCTAATGCCTGCACGTACGGGGTTTTATTTGATCTCAGACAATATAAAACCCAACAAAAATTACTACACGGGTATTCCGTAATACGGCGGTGGAAAAAAAAATAAAAATAATTTAAACTTTTTTTTGTTTGAAGTCGTTTATCGAGGCGATCCGCGGCAAATATATTGTTAAACGTGGGCCCTTCCGAGTTTTGGAACTCGAGTTAAACAATTTCGAAACACACAATTTTTGTAATGCCGCGAACGGGCGATCCGTACATGGTACGTTAATTTATTTCGCAAATATAGTAACGACGTATATTCGGATGCGAAACCTCGATAATATTCCAACGACAATACTCCGACGAGTAAATAAATTTAAAAGTTCAGTCGGTACCGCAACGACAATTATTATTCATTGTACTCGCGTAGTAATAATAATAATAAGCGTTCTTTGAAAAGTTTAAAGTAATTTTTAAAATTATGTTCTATTCAACCCTCGGTGTAAAATAATAATATAATAACGGATGTCGAATTGTTCCGCAGGTCGATAAAAGGGGAAACTTTACCGAACTCTATTACCGTACAATATTATGCGTACTCGGAAACATTATTTTTTTTCCCCTCTCTCTCTCTCTCTCTCTCTAGAGCGAATGGAAATCTCTTTCCGAGATGCAGCTCGTATATTCGTATATAAACACGTTGCCGGATTGATCGAATATAACGTATATTATATTACGCGAAATCTCCGGATTTACTCGCGAAATTTGATATTATAACATCCATAAGTGCATATGGCAATAATAATTGCGCGCGCGCTCATAGTATCAATATGTAAACGCGATAAAAACAAACACGGTAATAAAAAAATATCATATCAACGTCGTTACGTAATAGTACGTGTGAAATTTCCGGAAAAAAAAAAATGAAAAAGTACATCCTTTACAATATTAAACCGTGCTGCCACCGCCGTTTCCCTGTATGAAATATTATGTTTCCAAACCCGACGACTAAAATTTTCCGATACACACGGCTTATAATAGTGTACACCTTTACGCGGATGATAGATGATATAATGTTTAATAAACACGTTTTAACGCTTTAACGCGGAAAGTATTCACTTTTTTTTTTCAAAAATTTAAGAAACAAGCATGTTACCCTTATATCGAGGGTCCAGTACTAGGATTCCTATAAATTAAAACATTAAACCTACGTAAAACATAATACCGTTTGTTTACTATATTAATACTTTTTTTGTTACTGTTGATACGTTTAACGAAAAGAAAAAAGACGGACACACTATTCACACGTGGGTGCAGTCACTGTTGTAGGTGGGAAGTCGGGAAGGTAGTAGAGGAGAAATTTAATGTACATTTGCAGGCAACGATAAACCAACGAAAAAACGAATCTGAGCGGAGTTCGGTTGATAGTGTTGCTTTGTCAACAATATACATGTCATATTACGGCAAAATAATTACATATTGGCATCATATATTTTCTTTAATAATAAATGTTTAATAAAGAAAATAAATCTAGTAAAAAAAAAAATAAAAACAAAATTGTATTTATGAAAGTAAGATAAATAAATGAATCAATGCGTTGCCTGGAGTATTATGATAAGTGTATTATACGACCGTTTTCGAATTAAAAATTCATCATCAGGTATATTATAGTCAAAATATAAAACGCGACTGAATTTAAAAAATTAAATGAAGGAATACATAGAAAAAAAAAAACTACACAAATTAGTCATTTTACATAGAATATAGAAATAATTTATTTGAATAGGAGAGATTATAAAATTTAAAAAGAACTGATACTGGAGACGGATGGGGCCACTGTTGTAGGTGAGTAGTTGGGAAGACGGGTTACATAAAGTTATTTTATTTATATCTGTACTCAACGATAAACCATTGCTAACGAAAAACGATTCTGAGTGAAATTCGGTAATACATGTTTCGAAAGGCCGTAATATTTACGATTTTCGTCGAAATTATTATAGCAAAATAAAAATACTACATTACACTATAATTTTTTTTGGACTACTAAGTAAACCTGTCAAATTTTTAATAATTTCTGTTTAGTTTAACAATTTCACCTACAGAGTACCCACCAAATAAAAATTACGTACAAAATTGGCAAAATTGAAAAAACCACTTTCTTTGTAAGTGATATACATTTTTGAATTTCAGAAATTTCAAATGCAAATTCCAATTTTCGTAATTAACATACTAGATTATTATTGCGGTTGAAAATAATACGAGGACAGCCGGTGAGAGATCAGATAAAGTGAGATCAAGTCGGGATCAAGGAGAATGAGAAGAAGACGTACTTGAGTATTATTGTATTATAATATTATTTAACAGTATATTATAGGTATTATACTATAGATACTCACCCAAAAATCATATTGCACACTCCGGCGATAAACACGCCCGATATAAACAGACATTTCGTACCGAATATTGGCATCTAAAACAAAAACCACGTTAAAATTATACACCGCAGTACAATAATGGGCATATGACATCGATATTGTATTTATCATTTGTATTTAAGGCTGTCGGTATCAATATCTTCTCCGATTTTGTAAAATCAGAATATTATTTTTACCGTACTAAAAATAAGACTTTCCACTAATATATATACTGTCCGATATCCATTAAGGAGAACTGGAGGAAAAGGAACGGCCGATTTAAGACTTTTTGGGAAAAAAACTCCAATGCATAGTAAACCGCTCTAAATCTTAATTTTTTTTTTATTTTTATTATTTGAAAGAATACAAATTTTTCATATCGAATTCCGATTTTTAGATTAATCGTCTGTGTTTAACTGACGATAATACAAACAACACAGGTGTTGTTTGTTTTTCAGACACTTCATACAGTTTCATGCATTTTATATAAATCACAGTTTAATGCGACCTACAAAAAAAAATCTTTCTCTTTCAAATAACAATAAAGAGAAAAAAAATCTAACTGTTCTACAAGGCTTGAGAGTTTTTTCCCGGGAGACATTAGGTTTTTGTTCAAAATATACTGCGGTTTTAACAGCCTTATATACATAGCCTTATTATATTTAAAATTTAAATATGCATAATAATATTATTAATAACGTTTTTGTGAGTATATTTTTTTATAAACTAATTTTGTATAGGTAATTCAAAATGTTATTGTGTATAATTTATGTAATCATTATGCATTTCGAATTTGTGAACTATTTTATAAGTATAACTCGTGAAGAAATGTACTTACCTAGTTATTTAAATTAGAAAAAAAACTTATTTGCTACACTATGTGCTCAAATGTATAGAATAATACAATGACGGAGTATAATATTTAAATATCAAAACTAATTATGTAATATAGGTACTTACCAACGATCCCATTGACGGAGACAAAAAAAACATAACCAAAGCGAAGAAACTGAATACAAGACCGGCTTCCGAGAGTGTCATATCTTTTTTTTCAGCCTAAAATTACAAAAAAAAAAAAATGTGTTTTATTTAAGACGAAAAAAATAAATAATATTCATAGGTATTTTCCGAAACAATATTTCGAAATAATCGTTGAACATTTACTATGCTGTGTGTGTGTTTTCTGTTTGAAAACAAATTATCTACCGGAAATACCTATTGCTCCAGTTAAAACCTTAATAAGAAATTTCCTTGTAGTTTTCTTGGGAAAATTCAATGACCTTTGCAACAAGTGAAAAAATACAAGTCATAATAATACTCTGCTCAGAATCGTTTTTCGTTATAAATTGTTTATCGTTGGGTACAAATGTAAATTCAATTACTCTAAATAATATCACCCCTTTCTGCAACATCTCTTCTAAACAGTGGAACTTCCATCAGCGGTAACGATTTTTTTATTATTATTATCATTATTTTTGAGAGCCTCAGTTGAAAAGTTTTTGGCACCGGGACTTCTAAATGTTTGTAAGTCCGGGCTTGGCACCGGATACATAATAATAGTATTATAATAATAATGTTGTTTTATACACGATCAGTGACGTATTTATAGGGGTGTTGTTATAATACCCCCAGACCTTTTTTTTTTTTTTTAGATTTAAGCTTATTTTTCCATATACGCACATTCTTAAAAGTTAGATGTACCTGGTTTTCTGGCATCTTCCTACAAGTTATGTATTTCCGTTATACGATAAAAGTAAATCAAGAGGATTATGGGTTGATGGCTACCCATTGAAAAATGTTTCCGAAAATGGCATTATCAATACGGAGCAATACGGGGTGGAATCGCTGCTGCAAGAAATGGTACGGTAATGACTATAACATAAATATAAAATCACGAGCCACATAAAATCACGAGCAAATTTTATTGTTACCGTGACATTTCTCGCAGCATTGTGGAAGTACCTTTACTCAGTAAGCAATAATTTGTACGAAGGACTAAACGTAAATATGATAAAACGATTAAGGAGGAAATGAGAGCAGTCTAGATCTCTTGATACCCAGTTTGTTTATTTGATCATCACCCTCCCTCCCTTACCTCGGAAGTAAATCGTAAATTCACCACTGTTATACACGGTATTTTTAAATCACGGGGAAAGAAATATAAATAACTTTCCACTGTCCAACGTGCGTATCCTCGCAACAAATATTACAACCCATACATTTATTTATTTTATTGTTTGAACTTCTTTTTTTTTTCACCAATATAATACCCATAAATCAACAGAAATAATAATGAAAACCTGAAAATACCATTTACCCGGTGCGAGTTTTCCCTGTATTCCCCATATATTATGCACTCGCTAGTATATATATAGATCGCCCGGAAAAAATTCTCTAAATGACAGTGAAAACCGTACATAAAAATCAGCTGCATAGAAAAACTCAACGCACATATAAACAGAAACAGCAATTTTATATTTATTATATTAATTATGGATAGGTAGATAAAAAGCTGTCCTAGGATAATGGGTACGGGTGCAGCCACTGTTATAGTAGTTACTTTGATGTATATCTGTAAGCAACGATTAATCGTTGCTAACGAAAAAACGATTGTGAGCGGAGTTCGGTTGATAGAGTTAAATTGCCAACATATTGTGGTAAAATAATTACATATGCAGTATATATTTTCTTTAATAATATTTTTTTAATATTGTACATATTTTTCCATTTTTCCTACGTTTTTCCCGGATTTTCCTATTTATTGGGAAAGCCACCCGGAAAATCAAAAAATGATCTTTTTAAAGCACCTTTCTAGTCAAATTACCTTTTAGAAAAAATGCTATCATTGTAAATCGGAGCGAAATTTCTAGTAGAAAAGTTGTCCACAAAAAAAAAAAATAAATAAACATTGTTGTAAAACCAATACATTCCTCTTTTCGCTCAGAATCTAAAATAATAATATACTGTTTCATAAACGGAGATGCAACGGCCGTATATATTATATATACGAGACATACGGTTAAATGCTTTAAACCACCGCGAAATCTCGTAGGACCGTGTACATAATGTAATATACCAGCCGCCTCCAATACGGTTTTACGGGATTTCTCGGGTTGACAGGTCCAAGACAGTGGAAATTCACGGGTTCGCTATTAACCGCGGCCGCAAGGGACTCACTTACATCTCTCTTTACGCCTGTCGTCTGACGTTATAATATAAACTCGTTGACGTGGTTTCGACCGGGCGGATATCGATGATCTGTCGTAGCCACTAAACTTCCATTGAACGATAATAATTCGTTTATACGAGCGGCAGAGAAAAATTAATTACCACTTTACCCAACCCCTCGAATGTTTAGCCCCTTATAATTGATGAGTTTTCGAAATACAGGAGCGCGCCGACGATCCGTGATATTATTATTGTCGATATTGGTGTGTTCAGCTAAACCGAAAAGTACGGTTTATAATACCGGGCCAAAGATTTATTTAATAAATTTGTGGGTCCCGGAATAGCAAAACGCATTCGTGATCGTGCAATTGTTAAACAAACTGTCTTTGATGTAACGACCCGATTTAAAAGAGCAATATTTTCATAATAAATTCAGACATCTAATTATTATAAAAAAATAATAAATTACATAAACTCAATTTTTTTTTTATTGACCACAATCTACGCCTTATAAAGAATCTCCTGATAAAATTTGTAAGCATTTCTGTTTAGTCTAATAATTTTATCCACGAGTACCTACCAAACAAAATTACGTAAAAAGCTCTCTAAATAAAAATGTCTATAAATACCTAGCTCAAAAATTGCTAAACTGTTTGATAATTTTACCACGTTTATAAAAATTAAATGTAAGTTTTGTGTTCAAATTTCAAGTCCATAAAGTCCATACGAATATTTTTAACTGAATTACTACAAAAAAACAAAATTAAAAATAATACATTTCGTACATTTTCCTGTTATCCCGGTATTTTCCAGAATTTTCTTTCAGAAAAGGTACTACACTTGATACATCGGAGAAAAGTTCTATATTGGCAGAAAAGTTATTCACAGAAAAATAAAATAAAAATTAATAAGTAAGTAAACATTGTTGTAAAACCAATACATTCCTCACTACGCTGCGAATCTAAAATAACAGAAACCGTTATTTCATACATTTTCCCGATTTGTTTCATTAAATAAGAAAACTACAAGGAAAATAATAAAACCTAATTCACCAAACATTTGGGTGTTGGTGTGTTGGGTCGTTCAAATGTTGACAAAATATATCATGAATTAACTTCATGCAAAATTGTAACGATTCAATTGATAGGCATATTTAGTATTTATCCGATAATTATCAGGAATAAATTTCATCTGTAAAACCAGTAAAATAATTGTTTATAACCTTAAATCATGTATACATTGTATTTGTATTTTTGAATACCTAGCTATGGTTTCCTTTTTTTAAATTTATGTTGTTCGATGTTCGAAATTAGTAATAAATAATTTAAAATAAATTTATTTGAAAACGGTGTATTTTACTTGCGGGGTAGGGTAATTAGTCACGCATACAGGAGGGAGGTTCAAACTCCTCCGAAATTTGAAAAATGTTACTCAAGTAACATCAAGTCGAACACATAACAGTCGAAAAAAGTTAAATTATTGTTTCTGTATACGTGTCTGGGGGTGAACAATATTTTATTCTACTCAAATCACCAAATAAAATGTCTCAAGCCACATCCGATATTACTTCATTAAAATTATTATCGCGTTCGAAGTGATCGCCGTGTGCAAATCGATCCTCCAAGCATTTAGACCGAGACGTTTTCCCGTATTTAAAATCGGATTTTGAAACCTCAGTACTTAACTATTGTGAGGGGGGGATGTAGTGTGGTATGCTCATCTAAACAAACTATCGATTTCTAAGACACGGTATCAAACATATTGTGTTAAACGCTCAAATTGAACAATGAATATTCGAAAAATGAGATAGAGCCGGGCATGTTCGTGTGCCTTGAAATTGTTGTAATTTACTAGCTACATTACGTCATCGGAATTGTTTTTCTGAATGCGATGATTTGTAAAATGTATTTTTGAGGAATTCTATAATCGTATCGAAATATACGATTCGTGATTCCGCGGCCCTTTCAAAACACAGTGGTCCATCCGTAATATTATTTCCGCTGTATCATATTATACTCGTTTTGTTATCACCCGAATGCCGGGAAGTCGGGATTTTTTTTTACACTAGGCCGCGGTAAAATAAACGGAGTTGCACAATGTAAGTACGAAGGGTCGAAGGATTTCGTTTTAAAAATTATAATTTGATTTGGAAAAAGCCGAGGTGGAATTAGTATTTGGAAAGAGAGGGGAAAAAGCGGAATTCAATTCAGACCGACTTACTTATATTGCAGTATACATTTGGTGGTCTACGAAACTGTCGTTAGGATCAGTTCGTTCGAATGGACTTTATTTCCAATATTACTTTATTTTTTTTTTTTTATTTCTTTAGATAGCTTTAACATATTACATCGAAAACGTGAGTATGGTCTTGAAGATTTAGGACAGAATTAAACATATGTATTGTAATATTGCAGTATAAATAAAAACATTGAAATTCAAAGTTTAACGAAAAAGTTAATGGGATAATGTACAACTAGTGACATTATATACTTACCGTTAGAATGAAAATTTGGGTAGGAAATTATTATGAAATCGGGGGCGCTGGTGTGACGAAGTTCTCCCGCCTACATTTTATGTATAAGGCTAGTTTTTAACAATTGTTATTAAAATTAAATATTTTTTCTTTATACATACATATAGTTAATATGTACCTATTATGGTACATATTATTATAATTGTTAAGGATTATAGTTATATAAAGTTTATGAAGGAATACATTCCTCTTCTCCCTCCCCGTTTGAATGACCCTGAGGAATACTTTTTCCCGAAAAACTTTAATTAAGTTTTGGTATAAATATATAATCAATTTTTATTATTTAAGTGCTGCAAATGACAAATAGTGCATTGTTATACTCGTATATATGAAAGAAAAGTAATGCCTTTATTTGCTATTCGAAATTTTCTAAAACCTTTATGTTGTTAGTTATCTGGAAGCTTTCAAATAACTCAATAGATAACATTAGTGTGTTATTAAAAAGCAGACTTTGGGAGTAATCAGAAACGTGTCAGATACATTTAAATTAAGTTTGGATGTGTATTTGCAATATTTCAAATGTTGCAGTGTTATGTATCTGAAATTGAACCTATATATCTTGATTGTTATTAGGGTAGTTATCCGTTACATTGATACAATATTTTATAGGTTAGGTTATTATTAAATCACCTCTTTTGGAAAGGTCGGGGCCATGACCGACATGGAACAAAATCCGAGAAAGTCAACCAACGCCAGCGAACCGAGTGCCATATACTGTCTGAGGGTGAACCCGAAGTACCGGCGGACCTTGTCGTCCGGGTTGTCCTCCGGACTTCCGTCTCCGCCGTCTTCGCCGCCTCCAATGCCGCTTCCACTGCCGCCACTGGTGCCGTTTCCGAGCTCGAAATGAATGGGACTACGGCCGGAGACCCGACAAAGTTCGCAGAACGCGTTCCGTTCCATTGACAGAGACATGCTGCGGGCGGTGTGATACTTTTTCGGATACTCGATCCGGAATTTCTCAAGCACGCCACTGCCGCTGTGGGCCCCACGGCTGAGGCCATTGGTCGCATGTTCCTTTGCTGATCTTCCGGTACGTTCCTGTTCGCTATCCCCAGTGAACAGCGTCGTTCGTATGTGTTCGTCGTCGTCCGCACTACCGTCCTCCTCATCCATGCTCACGCCCGCCGTCGCGATGTTGTTGTTGGATTCCAAACCGCATGGTAAGTTCGTCAAGCTCTGGAACTGTACATAACATCCGGCGATGAGAAAAATTGATATATTTAAACTTTAGATGTTACAAAAAATAGAAAATACCCGCGAGCATCGGAGCTCGGGTTCTAAAATCGAATTTCTCGCCAGTCGATTTGTACCATCGCGATATTTTTTGTATTATATTGATCTAAAATAATTACGTTCGCCAGAATTTTATTTCATTTTAATAAGGACATTTAAAACCCGGTGTTTCACGTGTATACATAAAATTTAAACATACAAATGGTTGAAAGTTGAAACATCTTTACACGACTCTTACAATAGGCGACTACACATTTCATTAACAATTTTACATATAAGTATACAAATTTATCATAACTATTTTAATATTATTTTCCGTACATCATATGCATTGTTTGTAACTACTACCTATAAGATATCTGTATTTTGTTCTGCTCATTAATTATAAAACACGAGGATAAATATTAATTCGTTATTATGAAAACGTTGATTGGGTTTTTTTTTTTTTGGGGGGGGGTGTGCTAATTTTAAACTTGGGGCGATAAACATCCCCTAGTACTCCCTTATAATTGCGTCTACGCGTACATTCTATAGATTTTCCCTAACTACTCGCCTACAACAGCGGTATACCCGTGAAAAATATCGACCTTTTATTATTTTTTTTATTTTTTACGTTCTATACATATTTTTTACCCCCGTTCGCATCATGTCTAAGAAGACGCATTGTTGTCACCAAAAGAAACGACGCTGCTCGCACGTCTATAGGTATAGTACGTGTCACACGTTTGCGGCCAGAATAAGACCGGAAGAGTAATGATCGCAATTGAATATAATATAATGTGTATAGTCGAACGCTTTAAAAAATAACGACTCGCTGTACACCGCGAATATAGGCGCACTTCTGGCTACGACATCGCTCCGCTATTATTGACATTGACAGTTCAATATTTGCCGAGCGGAACGCACTTTAATACTAGCCTATGGTATACGGGTGTTCATACTATACATCATGTATCCAATAACGGAGCGGATGACGGGCGGTTTGAAAGTGTCGTCACAATTAAATTTAGAACGGAGAAGTGTTTTAGGCCCCGAGTTTTGTTTTCTACATAGAAAAACGAAATACGAAATCATGTGGATCGTAAACCGTATAAAGTTTAAGTATAAATTTTGTTAAATTTTCCCCGAAAATAGAGACAATTGCGCTGTATTGTAGTCTGTTGTACAAAAAATGCATAGTAGATATCCCGCATGGCTTTGTCCGTGTCGATAATATCGAAGAGAAGGAAAGACGGGTATGCTTCGCATGACGACGCGTGGGCCACTGTTGTTAGCGAGAAGTTTGAAGGGTAGGATATAGAGGGACATTTAATGTAGGTTTATCTGTATGCAACGGTTAACCATTGCTAAAGAAAAATGATTCTAATCGGACTTCGGTTATAGACATCACACATGTTTTGAAAGGCCGTAAAATTTACGATATTCGTCAAAATTTGATACTTATAAAAAAAAAATGTATATACATTAAATTCCCGTCCATATCCTGCCTTCCCAACTTTTCACCTACAACGTGGCTATACCCTTACCTAATATCCTTGGACAGCTTTTTGTTTTATTTATTTACCACAAATAACGATAAATTATAATTACATAATGTATATATATCAGGTGAATTGATCCAAAATCTCTAGATTCATACTACTTATTCAGATAATGTGGTTAATAATTGATATTCGAAGTTTCCCGCAGTATAACTAAATTTAAATCACCTAATAAGTTAATAACCTTTATATTGTTATACCTACATAATTGTTTCGCCATTATTGTTTGTTGGTTCAGTACATAATAGAGACGTGATACATAACACTCGTAGATAATAATATATACATTCAAATCCCGAGCCCATTATAATATTAAATTAACCTTTTGAATACAATATAGTTATCATTTAACGTTATCTCTGTATAAACTCTACAAAGAACATTGTATAAGTATGCACCTACTCCGATCGATACATACATTTTCAATATAAATTACCAACAATTTGCTCGTCGTCTATATTTAGAATCGGTTTCCCGGAATGATAATACATAATTTTATTTAAAATACGTCAAATATATAGATAAGTATAGGTATTGTAGGTATTATTTAATTAGAAAAAAAAAAAAAAATGACTTAACAAACAATTATTTCTTATAAACGTACATGGATGAACGACACTCGGTAGAAATTCACGAGAGTGCAGAAATTATCACGGGGAAGGCCCTTTTCCCCGAAGCTAAGTTTGCTGAGTCAATTGCAAATACGATAAATCAATTCATATGTTATTTAATAAACAATGGCCGCAGTGAGTGAAGTATTGTGTTAAACAGACCCGTAACTGCTGTCGGTTATAATTGAAAAACAAAAAAAATGATAATTCAAATAATTAATCATAATATCACTATTACCAATACTGTAGTTATCTTGTACATTATTTTACGGAGTCCACACTCCGCAATGATAATTGATAACAGTGATAAATATGAAATTATAAAAGTGTATGAGAATAATAATAACAGATTAGGTTATTAATATAATATTACTGTTATCAATTATTAATTTTGAAATAATGTTTTATTCATATTTTTACTAGGTATTTAAAAGGAAATTATTTAATATTCTTGTCTGTTGACTGAGGGTACAAAATGATACGTTTGAACCCCCAGAAGAATTCTCGTGGGCGCAACCCCACTGTAATGTCACCCGTTTCCCCCAAACGCGGTCATTGTAAAAAGACGAAAAATGCGTAGCTGCATATAATATTAGAAATAGTTGATAAGTATAATATACTCGTAGTATTTTACGAAATATATATAAATATTTTTAAATAAAGACACCAACACAGGTGCATATTGTAGGTAAGATATTTTGTATTCCGATTTGATTGATACGAAAATAAGTAATATGTGACTATTCTCTTTAATATTTTGTATATAGTCGAGTAGTAATATTATAGTAGGTGTATAACATTGCACAGTAGTCCCTGAGTTGTAAATAATATATTTGCATTCTATAAATAGATGTGTTAAACATTAAAATGTTAAATATTAATTCCTGTGTCAGAACTGCGTACGTAGTAGGTGTACCTATATCAAACACTTCAGAAAATTCAGGAAAAGCTTTGTCACATTGCGGTTTTTTCGCTGCTGATTTCGTTGCCGCTGTCGCTAATATCGCTGTCATGTGGTGAAATTTCTCTATTTATGGTGCTAACATTATTTAGGAGGACACCCACCACCCACCAACATAATATGGAAGAACATCTTTGGCGTCGATGGTAATTTTAAGGGGGGGGGAAGGAGGAATTTTCTACAAAATGTAGATAGGTATGGGTCTATCTTAATTTTTAAGGACTTTTTTCAGGAGGACATCTACCCCTTTGCCGCCCTTTTTGCACACCTATGGAAGTGAACATTCCTTAAGTTATTTTTTAATTTCTTGCAAATGAATTGTTAACATTATAAAATTAGAAAATCATATAGGATAATTTACAAGGTTTATAATATACTCGATAAATTGTTTATTATTTTGTTGAGTTTAGATTTCCCAAAGTTACCTTATATACCGTATATAGTACTATATAATACCTTATATAGTATTGCCTACCTTATGTAGGTAATACTATTATAGTTAAGCTATAATAAAAAAATTACAGATCATATAATATTATAATAATCTAACATCTATCTGTGTACCTATCCGTAACCACCCAACTTAAAATATCCCGATGTCATGGCTTCTCTAAAACCCTTTCATCACGCCGACTGAACCGGAACGTTCATATATGAAACACATTATTTTGAATGGGATAAGCCCATTGCGATTTGGTCCAATGGTTTTCACTAACGTTATCAATATTATTTTTACTTATTTGTTAAACATAAACATTTGGATTCGTTTCGTGTTCATTTGTTACAAAGTATTTGTACATAATGATAGACATGGAAATGTTAATAATCCAAATAGAAAAAGACATCCTAGGATAGTGGGAACGGGTGCAGCAACTGTTATAGATAATTTAACATACATCTGTAAGAAACGATTGCATTTGCGTAAGCAAACCATTGCTTACGAAAAAACGATTCTGAGCAGAGTTTAGTTGGTAGTGATGCTTTGTCAACAATATATATATTATATTATGAAAAAATAATTAAATAGGCTTTATGTATTTTCTTTAACACAATTTGTTTAATATTGTACCGATTTTCCCAGTTTTCCTACGTTTTTCCAGGTTTTCCCGTGTTTTATCCCGGTTTTTCAAATTTTATGAGAAAACTCCTGAGAAAATCGAAAAATGACCTGCTTAAATTACTTCTCTATGCCGATTTTATTTCAGAAAAGGTGCTACATATAGAAATCCGAGCAAGTCTTCTGGTAGAAAAGTTGCGCACAGATAAAAACAAAAAACAAAAAAAAAAAACATCTTTGTAAAACCACAAGCTTCTTCGCTCTACTCAGAATCTAAAATATAATTGCGTATGAGATGTAATATGCGCAAATATTAAGGACAGGGATTTGAAAAGAAAGGCTTGGCATGATGGGCTTCAATGATAAATCAATAATATTCAAAATTGATTAACTTATTGGTATTATGTTACAATTATTTATAGAAATAAACAAATGTTTAAATCAGTGTTGTGTCAAATGGTTCGTAATTATGCAGTCAGACATTATTTTCCAATCGGAGATGTCGCTGAATATAAACGAAAAATTGTAAATTCATTTTCGTACAATTTCGAACGTTTCGTTAGTTTTTCAAAATGCGCGTGCGCGACACTCTGCAGTAGATAGGGAAAATTAATCCGGGCGCTAGAATACCGCCGGGCCGCCAAATACGATTATACCTTAACGTTTTACATAATATACGTATACGTTTCGATATTCAATTATAAATTAAATAATATTATTCACGCCGTTTAATATTAGACGCGGAACGCGTAACACGCGAATCGGAGTTGTCAATATAATAATATTAAACCGTACAGGAATATCATTATGAATACCGCAGCGTTGTAGATTGATATCCAAGAGTTCTTACCCAATCGTCAGCTAGCGGTATAATAATAATAATAATAATAATTATAGTCTGGTCGATTTTAATTGAGAAATTAATACAATGGGGAACGCGAACGATAATGATGTTTCTGGTTTTACTATACAATATTGACGTAAGCTTTGAATATAAACAATGAGAGAAACCGGGAGAGCCGCAGCTATTATACACTCGTCAATCAGATGATAATAATATTATAAACGGCCGTTCGTTTATAGTATTTAGACGCGTCAAATATCCGAGATTTTAACGACAATTAAAAAATAATCAATCGAATTTCAAAGAAGAAAAGTTCGTGCATTCGCTGAAAATATAATCTATATAAATCGTGTCGCCGGAGATTAACGATAAGTTCGTTACAGAAAAGAAATAATAATAATTAAAACAAATATTACCAACAGCAGCGTTGTTGTTGTTTTTTTTTTTTTTTTAGTTCCGTCTTAAGGCGATTGAAAGCGATTCGTCTTTTTCATACACTTTGACCGATATAAGATGAAGTAAAGTAAACATACTTCCAGTAATCCAATTTCTGTTTTAAAAACTGATTTGACTAATTGACTTATTCATATTATATTTTTTCTCTCCTATAGCGTTTTGTCGGAAAAACAAATTTTTATTTTTATTTTTTTGTGCCACTTGAGTACGAGTTTATTTTAAAAAGAAGAAATAAACTCGTCGTGAACTTTAATTGAATTAACTAAATAAAATAAAACGAACAATGTTTCTTACAAAACGACGACAAAAAATTAAAGAATTAAAATATGTTATTAAAATTAAAACTATGCGAGCAGTAATAGGTGAATTTCACTTCAGCTTATTGGTCTAAAACGTGATAAAAAGGGCAGTACCCCTTCCCCTGGGTTTCAGATGGGTTTCAAGCAGTAGATTAGTGGACAAGTCTTATCATTAAAATGTTGAAAATGATTTTCAAATCGGAGAAAATTTGGAAAACTTCTTCTCACCCCATTATAAACATTATTATCCAAATAACTTTCACACCGAAATAATATACGAAAACAAAACTATTAAATTCGTCTACAGCCAGATTTCTCTAACGAGTTTAACCATACAGTAAGGTACCTCGCTTATTAAATTCTTTTAAGAATAGGTCCGATATTTGAAGGGGTTGTTGAAATTTATCTACTCGAAAATATTAAATTCCCTTGCATTTAAATTTAAAATACGATCCCGAGCCCCTTATCGCTCGACGTATTTATTGTATAATCATGACATTTTTTCAAACCCATGTATCATATTTTAAGTGGTCTTAGGATTTTTACTCATAATAATGAACTATATATTATTTATTATTTTCGATTTTCTTGCGATGACAATATATACGTTGTGATGTGATATTTTTCCCTCGTGTTTCTATGATGCATGAACACATGAGACGGCATGAGATGCATGAGCGGATTTTAGATTTTAAATGTTATAGGTATTATTATAAATACTACATTACGTATAAGCTCACTTGATTATTATTGTTTTTACCGCAGATCCGCAGCAGTTCCACTGCGCGGTGATTGTATATAATATTACGTATATACCAGCTACCTATACGAATAATAAAACAAATGACAATAATGCAATACTAGGTCACGTCCTCTTATCCAAATCTTTATATTATTACGCTTTCATAGCGAGAAAAAAAAATGCTTTAGTCTAGATTATCATATTATTATATCCGCACGCTGTAATACGTATATTAAGTGTCACGTCGTAGATCGTAAGGTGACATGAGTGTTTTGTTTACGATGTACGTAAACTACATCCTTAGACTCCATCGTCTTGCCGTACAGAAACACCTAACAATATAATAAACTACTAACATAATACGAATAAAAATATAAAAAAAATAAAAATGATTTCGGAACGGTCGGATGTTAATATTTAAACCTTATAGGCAGATGTATTTGGGCACGTACACAAAAAAGAATCCAGGAGGGGGGCATACAAATGTACAATAATCAATATTGCTAATATTATCAACATTTATAAAAAAAATTAAATTTAAATAAATAATAAATTACACAACTATTAATTTTCGGGGGGGGGGGGGGGGGAGGTTGAACCCCAAACCCCTCTGTAAACATATCTGGATGTATTATAATATTTTATATTAGGTACCTATGGCAGAGCAGGAAGAATGTCGCAGAAAAAAGTATACGGTATAGGTTGATCAACGTAACATAAGACGTTATTACTATCTCGAAAAAATTCAATATTTTTAGCAATTTTTTGTTTAGGAAATAGGGTATGTGCTTCCTTCACCTTCCTGTACTCTCGTTTGGAAGATTCAGGCTATACTTTGGCTGCTAAAATGTGTTTTTGGCCCACGTAGAATATTTTAAACGTGCTACCGTCGATAAATATATAACTTAAAAAATTTCAGCCTCATTCGAATGTTTGCATTCCTATTGAATAACCGAATGACGCCCTACTCTCCTGACACTGATTAATACAATTTTTTTATATACTTGATTTATATTTATATACTTTATATACTAGGTTGCTGTTTGAAAATCAAAAGTGAATAACGATTAGTTTCACCCCCGAAAATAAGGGTGTCAAAAAATAAAAGTGAAGTATCGTTTAGAGTTGTAGAGATGCTTATTGTATTATCGAAAACAAATTCTGAAAAAAAATTACAATATTCTTTCCGAGATAATGCGAGTATTTTACTGAGTTCATTATTTGTTTATTTCGTTTTTTACGGCTTACGTTTTCTACCAAAAATATTGCTCCAATAGAAAAACAACAAGGCATTTTTTTTGTTAAATTTTTAATCTAGTTGGCAATAAGAAAGACATTTTAGATTTTCCTTTTTGTTTTTTTAATAACTGAACAAAACCGAAAACAAATGTAGAAAGATCGGGAAAATGTATAAAAATAATGCTTTTATTGTTTTAAATTTTCTATTTTTGCTGTAATTCAGTTGAAAATATTTGTAGAAACTTAAAATTTTGATAGTAAACTTATATTTGATTTTTCTAAACGTAGACAAATTTTCAAAATATCGGAGCCATTTTTGAGCTATCTTTAGACATTTTAATCTTGTGAGGTTTTTTTCCTATTTGGTAGATACTCTGTGGATAAAATTGTTAGAAATGCTTGAAAATTTGACAGGAGTTTCATTATAAGTTGTACTTATTAATCAAGAAAAAATTTAGTTTAATGTAGTCTTTTTGTAAGAGTTGTAAAATCAAATTTTGACGAAAATCGTAAATATTATTACGGACCTTTCAAAACATGTATAATGTATATAATCAACCTTCGTTTCGAATCGTTTTTCGTTAGAAATGGTTAATCGTTAACTCGTATAAAAATCTAATAACTTTATGTATCCTATACCATCTCAAATTCCTATTTATAACAGTGTTTTTTTCTATAATGTCTAATGCCCGATTGCATAACCGTCATAAAAACGAAGGGCGTTGATATTCGTGTTACGACGGAATAAATAATAGTATTAATATTATTATAATATTAATATATAATGTATACGAACCCATACGCTGTTAAAAAAAACAAACAGAATAATGATTTATTGTATTTATATATTATACTGCTATGCAGGAGGGACAATCTAAAAAAAAAAAAATATACATATAATAACAATAATATTATTTAGTGCGGATTAAAACATACACGATTATCATTAATTTTTTCTCGAGTGTTACGTTTTTCTTATTCTTAAATCTTATTTTATAGATGCGCGTGTGATACGGAGCGATTTACAGTCACCGCAGTCGCAGTGATTATCTCTGTGCGAACATTTCGTGTAGTGAATTTTATTTTGGTTTTTTTTTTTCAGGTATACAGATTCGTTTAATATAATCATGAATTTGTGGAAATTGCATTTTTTTTTCTATTTTAAAGACCGAATGTTATATTATTGTGTAACAATAACGGGCTCTGCAGTATTGAAATTTTCTTTTTTTCGTCGAGATTTTTAATGAGTTTTTCTTTGCTTTTTTTTTTCTTCAACGTAGTCTTTTAAACAATTTAATTTTAAAATCATAGGTTGATCATTTCGAAAATTTTATGGTAAATGAGAATTTTTAAACGATGATTCTATGCTCGATATTATTGTGAGAAAAAAAAACGACCCGCAAAACTTGTAAAATGTACCTACACAGCCGTAATGGCGAGGCGAACATTTTTGCAAATCAAAAAATTACGTTTTAAAGTACCTCACCGGTCAGATTTCCTTTAAGAAAAAGTGCTACACTTATAAATCGGACCAATATTTCAGATAGAAAAGTTGTTCACAGATAAAAATAAATAAAAAATAAACATCATTGTAAAACCATAATAGCTTCTACGATCAACCCCGACTCTAAAACGTACAACAAACACGTCGAATGATTAGTACAATTCGCACATAATTTGTTCATTTGCTATTAATACCCATTTAAATTCGTGGTAATAATAAGTGCGCATGACGTATACAAGTCATCAATGCAAACGCTGTTGAAAAATAATTTGAACACATTAACATGTCATTCGCAGTCCAAGATTGTTTTTTTTTTTTTTTTTTTTAAGATTCCGAACATATTTTCTTTCAATTTATATATATATGAATATAGGAAATTTCTTGTTTGCCTTTGTAGTTTTCTTAGTAACAGAGGAAAAACGGGAATATTTACTGATAAACGGATTTTTTTCCCCGTTTAAGCGTTTAAAGTTCAAATTTATGTGACGATTTGACATATGTACGGTAGTTGAAATATTTTTTGAAATAGAGGGGTGGCGGTCGGCAAGGAGCGAAAAATGTGGCAGAGTAATGTGTTTGTTTTGCGATATCACCAAGTGAAAACGTCTGGGTGTATAATGTGTGGTTTATGCTACTGTCAGTACTGCTCATATTGTTGTGTTATTCCTTAGAATTATAATGCTAATTAAATCAAAATGTTACGACAAATATAACCACCGCGGGGATGTTTATTCGTAAAATATCGTGTCGTACTTGAGTATAATAATATTATTATCTATGTTCAATCGTACTGAATGGCGTATATAGTGGAAGTGGTATAATGCGGGATAGGCTAGTGGGCCACGGGGGACAGGGCGAACAATATTTTGTCATGCGGAAAACATTTTTTTTTTTTTCGAGTAATTTTAAAACATAGGGTTTTTTTTATAGAATTTTTTTTAGCGAATATCCACTGCATTTCTACTCTTTTAAATAAATATTTTTTTTCAAAACTATTCATTTTGCAAAGTTGTTAACAAAAAAAAAAAAAAGTAATACATGTTTCCTGTACCAATATAGGTAATTAAAAAATTGTTAACGCAGTCGGGACACTAGTAGAACGAAAATAAAATGAGCTGATACTGGGGATGGGAGCGGCCACTGTTGTAGGTGAGAAGTTGGGAAAATTAGAATACGTAAGGTTATTTCATTTATATCTGTAAGCAACGATAAATCATTGCTTGGCGAAAAACGATTCCGAGCGCAGTTCGACAGTACACGATTTGAAATGTATTTTTTTTGCAATTTTCTTTTAAATTTGATTTCAAAACGCTTATTAAAAAAAATAAGTTGTCCGATAATTTTGGAAATTTGACCACGTTTAAGTAACTCCAATATAACTATTATTACCAAGTTTCAAGTCTCTACGTGTATTTATAATCGAATTACAGCAAAAAAAACTACCAAAAATAAAAATTTCTTAAAAGCTTAATAGTGGCTCAAAAGTTTTGGAAATGACACCCTAAGAAATTAAACCAAAAAGGTAACAAAAAAGGCATCATGTGATTTTTCGATTAAATAATTTTTCTGGTAGAAAACGTCGTCTGTGTTTTTATAGAATAATGAAATCGTAAAATTGTAGGTTTTCCTACGTTTTTTTCCACTTAAGTGCTTTTATTTAAAACATGGCGTCGAAAATCAAATAATTATTTTTCTAAAGTACCATATAGATAAATTGAGCTTTCAGAAAAGTTGCTACGCGTAAAAATTGAAGCAAGTTTATTAGGAAAAAAAACGTGTCCACAGACTAGAAGAAAAAAAAAAGAAAAAGAAGAAAAAAACAGCATTGAAAAACCAATAGCTCCCTCGCTACGCTCGGAATCTACAATAAAAATGTAATAAGATTTATTTCGTATAGGTATATGTGTAAACCGAGACAAGAGAGAGAGAGAGCGAGAGAGAGAGAGACACGCCAATACAATGGTGACAGCGATAAAGAAAAAATATATTTGTCGTACAGAAATAATATAACTATACGGAAAAAAGTATAAGCCACTTACAATATCAATTTATATCAAAAAAAATTAAATAGAGTTCTTCGAAATTGTTGCGAGATGTGTTATTCTGTAATATTATTATTAAGTATATTATTTTTATTATCCTTGCTTGGAAATAAACATTATTTATTAGAGTCTAGACTTCAATAGCGAACGGGAATTTTACGTTATTAAAATTAATTAATATTAATTATTGTTGTTGGACCGAGACAGTATTATTTATTATTATGCAGCTCTACAGTAACAGGTGAGTTTATTTGACCATCCGTTTGTTAATGAACTGATATTATAGACACACGTGTTTTATTGCTTCGAAAAAAACAAATTTCAAGGTTTTTTAAATTATAAACTATTAAAAAAATTACAGTTATTTAAAAAACAAAAAAAAAAAAAAAAGGTTTTTATCTTTTATATTGAGCTGTATATTTTGAATAATACAAAAACCCTGTATGACATTCTCAGCAAAATATTGTTCTCTATACATTTCATAATAGGTACTTTTATTTGTGCCCAACCAAAACTAGTTTTACTGTTCAGCGAATATCGAAGACTTTTGAAAACGAATAGGTACCTAAGGTTTTTTTCTGAAAATGGATATTCGTATTTTCTTATACTATTGTTATAGACTATCTTTCTTACCCATATATTTTTGGTTTGGTCGAAAAGAGAATTGACCTTTTCAAAATTTGGCCGGAAAATGAATCGGCCAAAAAGGGAAGAGTACGATTTTGGTCCAAAACGGTTATGCCCGACACTGGGCCGAAACTTGAAAATGGACTGACCAATTTGTCTGATCTTTTATATTCGGAGCGTAGCTAGGGTTCTATTGATTTTACTATGATATTATGTGTTTTGTTTTTCTTTCTGTAAATAACTTATCGAAAAGAAATCTTACTCTGGTGCGTAAAGTATAGTACTTTTTCCGAAAGAAAATGTTGTCTGGTTGGTGCATTAGAGAGGTCATTTTTCTTTGATTTTCAAAATAATTTAGAAAATCCCGAAAAAAAACTATAAGTAAAACGGCAAATATTTACGGTGCGCCACGGCGTTTTTAATTTTTGTGATTCCAGTTTTCTACCAGAAATATTGCTCCAATTGAAAAACGATACGGAACCGCTTTCAACCAATCACCAATTCTCTTAAAATTACATAATTTAATAATAAACGATAATATTATTTCCAAATACCATCTATCGAAACGGTCTCCAGAATTGATCGCCCCTAAAACTTTCCACCCCGGGACCCAGCCAGAGCCCTTCGTGGCCCCCTCAAATACGTCTCTGGTCACCCACATAGATTATATTTGTGTTCGCGTGTATGCGCCGTAGTAATGTATAGTATTATCAATATTTGAACCGAAGAGATTAAACCCACGCAATAAAAATAATAATAATATTATAAAGTCTGTTATTATTTGGAGTTTTCGTCACGTATTGGAAAACTCCAATATGATAATATTTTACGAAAAAAGACTATAAAAACGATTCTACGAATCGTTTTAATATTATAATATTTTGCGGTTAGACCGTTTAATATCAACTCGCTAATTAATAATATTATAATACATAAGTATTGAGCATATTTTAATATTATTATAATATACTAGACCGGTTAATTACTTATTTATTAGGTACACGGTACAATATATTCGTGTTTGAACACGCGGAGCAGTGTGCAGCAGGGGTTTCTTTACTTTGAACTCGTTCATAATTAATATTATTTTATTATTTAGATTATTCTTAAAGAACCTCGGTTTTATGTAAAAAAAAAAAAAAAAAGACGTTCTAGGATAATGGGGACGGGTGCAGCCACTGTAATGGGTAATTTAATGTATACCTATAAGTAACGATAAACCATTGCTTCCGAATAAACTATCCTGAGCAGAGTTCAGTTGATAGTGAGGCTTTGTCAACAATATTTATGCCATATTATAGTAAAATAATTGAACAAGCTCTATTTATTTTATTTATATTTTAGCTCTGTATAGTATTTGTTTAATGTTGTACCGATTTCTTCAATTTGTCTACGTTTTTCCCGGTTTTCCCATGTTTTTTCCCAGTTTTTCACATTTACTCCGGAGATAATTTAAAAATGACCTTTCTAAAGTACCTCCCTAGTTGTCTACAGAAAGATAAGATGGTAATATTTTACAATTATATTTCGTACATTTTGCTTTTTCTTATTCGATGAGAAAACTCTTGAGAAAATCGAAAAATGACCTGTCCTGTTTAAAATACCTCCTTACACTGATTTCCTTTCAGAAAAAGTGCTACACATAAAAATCAGAGTAAGTTCTCTTGTAAAAAAGTTGTACACAGAAAATAGAAATGTAAACATCTTTGTAAAATCATAAGCTTCGCTCCACTCAGAATTTAAAATGTTACCTAATTGATTGATTTAGATTTGTTTTAAATATCTCACTCAATAATATAATTAAGCTACACGAATAAAAAATAACCTACGTTAATTTATATTAACGTATTTAAGTACCTTAGTATTGTTTTTAATGTATAAACATATACAGAGTGTTCCACAAAAATATACTCATTTTAATATCTCCGAAGATAATGGAGATAATCAAATTTTGTTTTTTTATATTACTCATTTATAAGAACTAAAAATATTTATATTTCAATACATTTTTTTATGTTTTGGTAAAAAAACTTAATTATATTATTTTTTTAAAAAATAGCCATTTTATAGTTACACAAGATTCTTCAAAAAATCTTGACGTATCAACTATTTATTGTAATTAAATTCATGAATTTTAATAATTTTTTAAAGTTCAGAGAAAAAAGTGTACAGTCAATTAGTCATAGTTATAATAATCAATTAGCGAATACGATTATAGCTTGCTGTATAACATTAAACGTAACTTTCTTAAAACTTTAAAAATTGTTAATAAAATCACGAATTTTATGAAAATAAAAGATGAAACGTCAAAATGTTCAAAAGAATAAACTCTAAAATAAAAGTAATTTGTTTAGTTATTTTACCAAAATATAAACATTTAATTCAAATATAAATATTTTCAGTTCTTATCCTTGTGAGTAACATAAAAAAAAACAAACAGAATTTAATTATCTTTATTATCTTAGGAGATTGGTATACCTTCGTGGAACATCCTGTATATATAAATCATTTTAAATTCCTGCAGCACTTTAAAATAATATAATTACTTAAAACACTTAAAAAAAAAAATGTTGAGTACCTCCATTATTTCACAAATTATATTGACTTATTTTTTAATCACAGATAGGTACTTATTTTTATGATTAGAATATACTTAAAAGTTATAATTCGATAATAAAGTTTTAAAGATAATAATAATATTTATTTTAGTAGATAGGCATGATAGGTATATTGAATATTTGTTATATCGTTAATACAATAATGATCAAAAAGGTTTAGAAAGAAAATATTAAAATACGGACGTACTTCGCACGATGAGTACTGTTTTAGGTGAGAAGTTGGGAAGGTGGATATAAAGGGGAATTTAATGTATATTTGTACGTATCTTTGCTAACGAAAAACGATTCTGCACGGAGTTCGATTATACATTTTTTAAAAGACCTTTACGATTTGAAAATAATGCATTTCGTACATTTTCCCGTTTTCTTACGCTTTTCTCCCGGTTTTTCCCATTTATTATGAAAACCTTTAGGAAAATTAAAAATTATCTTTTAAAATGACAACCCCAATCAGATTTCTTTTCAGAAAAGGTGCTACACTCAGATTTCTCGATGGGTTCAGAATCTACAAACATCAGTAATCCACAGGATCCTCATTAAACTGGATGATCAACCATATTAGGAATCCGATTCAATATTATAATGATGTTTGTCGAAAATCGTATCAAATGTATACGAACGATGAAATCGATTAGGGTTATTATTAATAACTCTGTGGTGCTTTTATAAAATCTTAGACAGGTATTAACATGGTAAAGGTTTTTTCTTTTTGCTCCAGTCCAATTGTATGATGCAGCAAATTGATCCGTAAACAGTTTTCTTATGTCATAACATCTTTCAAGAAAATAATTTTAATGGCAATGCTACTTTTGAGTGTATAGTGTAATTTGTATTGTGTTAAAATATTTTATGCTAATAAATAATGTAGATTTATTTTAAGTTAACTAAATAATATCACTGTTTTAATTTCATAGATACCTAATAAGAAAAATTAGGAAAAAACCAAATTGTTAAATTTGTTTATCGGGCATAAAAGATCCAGAAAACAGTTGTAATACAATACTATCCAACTAGTCAATTTAAAGGTTTTTTTCGATTCCCAACTTATTAGACAAATTTATTGAGATGTCATTTTCCAAACTCTTCCATTCTATTTCCGTGTTTTGAACACAAAAATGATATGGTTGAGTATATATTCACTACTTATATTACAGTAAAAATGAGACGACATACTTATTTTTCTAACCCTCAACTAAAAAGTAAAAATAAGGTTAAACAAAGAGCTGATACTGGAGATGGGAGCGGCCACTGTTATAGATGAGAAGTTGGGAAGATAGGATACATAAGGTTATTTCATTTATATCTGTAAGCAACGATAAACCATACGTTAACAAAAGACGATTCAGAGCGCAGTTTGGTAATACAAGAAAGTAAATCAAAAAGACAACACAACTTGTGATTTTTCGATTAAATCATTTTTTCTGATAGAAAACGTCGTCCGTGTTTTTATAAAATAATGAAATCGTAAAATTGTCCGTTTTCCTACGTTTTTTCCCACTTAAGTGTTTTATTTAAAATATGGTGTCGAAAATCAAAAATGGCCTGTTTAATGTACCATCTAAACAACTTGAGCTTTCGGAAAAGTTGCTAAACGTAAAAATCGGAGCAAGTTTACTAGAATAAAACGTTTCCACAGACTAGAAGAAAGAAAGAAGAAAAAAAAATAAACATCTTAGTAAAACCAATAGCTCCCTCGTTACGCTTAGTATCTAAAAAACTATCCAAATTAGTTATTAACTAATTTACTAGTTAGGAATACCTACAATATAGGTACATATATTATTTATTATTTTGTATAAAAATACTACTTATGCATACTTCTTGTGTTGAAAAATATAATAAAAATAAAAGTATTATACCTATTATCTAATTTGTATAAATCCCAAATTCGGAATTCCACGTTACGATTTTATTGATAATGGATATCATGTTACTAGTATAAAACTCGCCACTGCCACCTTTAAGCGCTACCTGTCAATTCAAGAACGATGAAAGTTCTCATAGCTGATTAGTGCTCGTTGTGTATCCTGCATGTATATCCTAATTCGTGCTTATTATAATACTGGTGACGACGGCCGACGCGACCGCGGCGGTTAAAACGTAAAAGATACCTAATAATAATTTAGTATAAAATTTACATTTCGGTCGTATATAATATTACAGGATAGCTGGTATGAACTATTACGATAACCACGGCGTTAAGAAGACCGAGATTATTGTACTTTGAAGACGAGATGATCTAACGCGTGTGCATATACATAACCGCTGCATTTAAAATAATATACGTAGGTATATAATATTGTACCTACTAAATTAATATTATGTTGCGATCAAGTATTAGGTGTACGCTATGTACACCTAATACTAATCTATACCAGAAGTTCCTAAACTTTTTTTCCCCGTACACCACTTGCTAATTTATTCTGTTTTTCGTAAACCCCCTCTGATACCATTTATTAACCCTATTCACATTTCATATGACCCTAATTTTTTTTCTCGATAAAATTGTCCGCTTACAGGCCAGAATAAACCCCTGCAGAGGTCTATATAGACCGCTTTGGGAACCTCTGCTTTACATTATACCCGCGTACTACCAATATTATGATATTATATTATTATACTGCTATAGAGTCGCTCGTACCTACGCAGATAATACGGAACAATTATTATTCTACTCGAACGACGAAGCGATTTGTGAGTAGGTTAGGATATTATTGTCATAGGTGCAACTAGACCACCAACTTTGGGAGTACTAAAATTATAGACACAATACAGACCCCCACGGGGGTAATGCCCACACAATTTCCTTTAAACGGCACTTATAATAAGCAACTGTACACATTTTATTTGAAATTTTTTACATACGAATATAATCAAACTATAAAAAAACTATTGGGTATTTTTGGGGGTGCTAATTTTAAACTCAGAAATTCTAAAGACCCCCCAGTACTCCGCTAGTTGCGCCTATGAATTTATTGTTATGTATTGTGTGTACGTACTTTGAGAAGAAGATAGCGTTCAATGAAATCGCACAGCGCCGACACAAGTCCGTACATGAATCCGAAAAGTATTTTAAAAAAAAAAAAAAAGGCAAATTAAATTGGACCGGCATGTTTCAGCTGAACGATAGAAAGGGTTTGATATATTTGTTTGTAATTTAAGTATAGGTGTATTGTACGATAAATCGAGTCGGTAAAATGTCGCGGTTAAAGGCAAAAGAAACCGTGTCTAACACGGTCATGCCAAACTAGAAAAATATGAATTCTGCTGCAGTGTATAGGTATTAGGTAGGTATATTTTCCTTTTCGTTATGCGACTCGGTATTATTATATAATACGAAAAAAAAAAAGCTATAGATGCTCGACACGAGAGAATTCCTCTCTCGGTACGTATTAAATTTCCGTATACCTACGCACGAGTCTTACGGCTTCCGCGTTGATACGAATCGAAAACTTTTTCGGAAACGTATATTACTTACACATTATTATTGTCGTAATATAAAATATATACGAATATAATGACAATAACGTCGCGCAGATAGATGTACGACATAAATTATTGTGAGTTTTTCGGTCATATATGTACACCTAGTATTGCATACGACATATTATTATTGTATATGTTATGAAAGAAAAAAAACTATAGACAGGCAGTCCTCTTTATATATTTTTTGTTTTTTAAATAAAAGTTATCTCTATAATCTCGATTTTATCCGATGTGATACCTGTGTACGTATATATCATTATAATATGTACAATGTGCATACGTTATTTTAAATTTAAATAGTTGTACGAGTTTGTGAAATGCATCGGGGAGCCCCAACTGAAAACGGTTTAAGTACAACAGAATATATAAATTACAAATTGTCATAACGTAAACCGATAAAAACTGGAGTATCGATGAAGTACCGTAGGCTTCCTTAATGAGTAAAATATTCGTGTTGAACGTCTTAGCGGAGATTGGGGAGGGCTAGTAGTAGGAATTAGCCCCTCCTAAAATTATTAAAAAATAAATAAATAATTATCCTAACTACCCAAAAATGATATTGACTCCCAAATTGGAATGACTTTTTATGGTTTATTTGACAACGAATGGGTACTTTTTTTTTTGATCATCATTAAAACAACCAAAATGTAAAAACTAACATATACTGCTGTACAACTGTTTTAGGAGGGAAGTAAAAAGGGATGATAAATATTGGAATTTAATTTATATTCGTACATAACGATAAACCATATATAAGAAAAAACGAGCAGAGTATTATTAGTCGTATTTTTCGATTCTCTCCAAAGTAATCCTGCAAAAATCAACAAAAATTATATAAAAACTTATCAGTTTTTCCCATCAAGAAACCTTCCCAGGCAGATGTAAAAATAACCAATTAGATGTTACACGAAAGCTCATAAAGTTTTTGATTGGAACATTTTTCTGATAAAAATCGTTTAGGTATAAATATAAAAAAAAAATACCCTTGTAGAAAAACTCGGTTCGCTCAGAATTTAAGAAACCGTATAAACGAGTTAAATGCTAAATATCTCATAATTTTTTGTAATCAATAACTACATTGTCATTATTATTGTAGAATATTGTTTTTCTTATTTGATATTGACAATCAATAATTTCAGTAGTATAAAGGTAGGTATCTATTTCATATTTTCTAACGAACCATTATTTTTTTATAATATTCGCCGATAAAAATATTACATTAATGTTTTATTTGACAAACGAAATATGTAAATAAATATAATAATTTAATGGTTATAGGCTCGTAGAATAATGTGGAGTGATGTGTACATTTCATTATAGGTACCTATACACCTATTTTCAGATTGCAACCATCTATACATAATATATGTAAATATCTTATCTAAATTTAAAATAATATTGTAACTCGTGATGTGCGCCTGATATTAAATCAATATTGAGAACATGTTATGCAATTCAAATTATATAGATTGCTATATACTAATTGAAAAATGAAAGATGATACTTTTTATTAAAAAAAAAAAAAGAGAGAGAAGTCTTCGTGACTAAAAAAAAAAAATGTCTTTAGTAATAATCTGTAAAAAATTATAATTTGTGTATTGCACCTATAACTATTAAATAATATAGGGAATCAAGCTGGTGTTTGGTACCTATCTAAATTCGTTGGACATTTTGTTTAGCGGTGATAAAATATTACTTAAAAAAAATATTTTATTTTATTCACTCGGTTTTATATAACGCATAGGCACTCGCGTAATAAATTTATTTACCTTATCTTATCGCATTGTGTATATTAATCGCCAGAATTATGTTTTCTATACAACTAAAGCTCTTCTGCTGCAGGATTATATATTAAACAAATTAAAAAAAAAAAAATAAATAACATCCACTCGGAATAATATATTATTAAATTAATACCGAAGAGTCCGGAAAACTGAGGTGTGACAGGTATAATATTGTTATGTACGTTTGTCCGTCATTTTCCATTTTCAAAATAACACTTGGGTTTAAATTTAGCTTAATGCGATAAATAAAATATAACAAAAACTGTACCTATGAGATCTCTTTAATTATTTTTGGGTATACCTATCGTAGTCGTAGGTTTAACAAGTAAAACATTGATAATTGAACAAATTTCCGTTTTAAATCTACGTCTAACGTTTTTTTTTTTATGTATACCTCTTTTAACTCATAATAAATCTGCAAATTTTTTTCAGTAAAATTCCATCTTTTCATCAATTTTAAATAATATTTATGAGCGTACACTGCGAATATTTTAATTACAACCATTCAGACGCAGACGACTGCTGCAGTGTAGACGCGCTTTCATGATAAAACAAATTGAACCAAGTACCTAACTGCTCTGTCGTCTGTGTAATAATTATTATTTTGATTAAACAGAAAAACATTTGATAAAACTAACATGATGAACAACTCGAAAATAAATAAATGATAATTGTTTGAATGAAGACGCTTTTAAACGCAGTTAAAATTAAGGGGACACTCCAGAGACGCAATACTTTGGCCCCCGTATATATTATAAGTACTTAGTATATACGCCGTAGTATAATAATTAATTTATGAATTATAAATAATATCATCATTATTATTTCTGTACTTTTTGTATACGAAAATATTGAAATTATAATAATTTTAGTGTCCATATTAAAAATCTTAAATCTTAAAATGTATTATTTATGTTTTTAATAAAAATTGTTAATTAAATATTGAGGAAACGATTTATTGCGGGTTTACAAAAGTGTACTGCAAATATTTAATGGTCTTTGATGTCTTTGAGTGAATAACGATAAATAAAAAAAAAATAAAAACAATTTTTATGAGTACCTACACACTAAGAAATACCATAGATTAAAGAATTCCAATAATATTTTATTTTCATTATTATTATTTTATTATTAGCGGCTAGTGCATAGAACAACTCTAACGAACAAAACCTTATGAACTTAATTTTAATTTGAAGTTTTCGAATTTAATGATTTATTAACAATATAATATAGTAAGACAGCGGCGGCGCGGCGTGAAAATACTGCTGGCGTTCATAAAAGTTTAAGACCGTATTAAAACTAAGAGAAAAAGAAAAAAGAAAACGTATTTGTATTTTGTTATTATGTGGCATTTTGTTCTTGTTCAAAAATAAGTACTAACATTCTTTTTAAACAATTACATTATTTTATTAATAGTTATAGCTCGTTTTGGACTTGTAAAATGTAGAAGTACCTAATATACACTTATATATACATTATAGAATAATATACAAAATATTATCATAATACTCGTATAGAGTGTGCTTTTCATTATTTATTCGTACATTCTATGTAAAAGTGTATTTTCATATAATTTACATAGCCTCTAAAATAATATAGTAATTTATACAATGCATAAACACATGGGTAGGGAGTAAAATATTTCAGCTTTGAAAATAAATTCGAATATTTTGAATTTTCGGGGTTTTAAGTTCAAAAACAATTTTAAATATTCTATGTAAAAGTGTATTTTTATATAATTTATATAGGTAGCTTCTAAAATAACATAGTATTTTATACAATACACAAACACGTAGGGAGGGGGTAAAATATTTCAGCTTTAAAAATAAATTCGAATATTTCGGATTTACGGGGTTTTAAGTTCAAAAACAATTGTAAGCGGTATGCAGAGATGTATATTTTTAATTTCACTAAAACAACATAGATAATTTTGTTCTCCCAAACTTAACATAATAATATAATTATACTACGACGCTATGCCTCGAAACTTCACAAGAATGCTCTAAAACACCATAGCTATAGCACCAGCTATTATAAAAAAACAAGTTACAATAAAACAAAAAAACAAAATAAAAAAAGACGGACATACTTCGCACAATGGGCGGACCACTATTGTAGGTGAGAAGCTGGCAAGGTAGAGGGGAAATTTAATGTATATCTGTACGCAACGATTCACAATATTGCTAATGGAAAACGATTCTAAGCGGAGCTGGGTTAACAGTGTTACTTTTTTAACAATAATATATATCATATTATGGTAAAATATGGTTTACATATTCATTACATATTTTCTTTATTAATATATGTTGAATATTTTACCTATTTTTTCGTTTTTCCCGGTTTATTCTGGGAAAATTAAAAAATGACCTCCCTATAAAGTACCACTCAAGTCAGATTTCCTTTCAGTGTCACACTAGAAAATCAGAGCAAAATTGATGGTAGAAAAGTTGTCCACAAGAAAAAAACAATAAACATCATTGTAAAACCAATACATATTCCTCGTTACGCTCGGAATTTACATTGTATTAATATGTTAATCGAATACATTTTATAAATATTTTGGAACATTTATAGAGAAACGATTTTAATTTTAACAAATCAAATATATTGTAGATGCCGGAAATACACGTTTCTTCCTGATGCCAATCAACTAATAATATCAACTATTTATACTTATTGTTGGAAATTTAAATTGAAAAACCTAACACACCACGTCTACCTATAATATGAATATAACCTTACCGAGCAAAGACAATAATTATTGTTTGTTATATTCTGAGTAGAGCGAAGAAACTTATGGTTTAACAAAGAATCTGCGCACAATTTTTCTACCAGAAGACTTGCTCACATTTGTATATGTAGCATCTTTTATGAAAGGAAATCAGTATGGGAAGATACATAAGGATAATTTTTCGATTTTCTCAGGAGTTTTCTCATCAAATTTGAAAAAACAAAAAAAACGGAGGCTAAACGGGAAAATGCACGAAATATATTGCAATTTTTTTTCTATACACAATTTTTCTACCAGCAATTTTGCTCCAACTTATAACGATAGCAATGTTTCTAAAAGGAAATTTGACTGAGAAAGTATTTTTTTTTTGTTAGCAATGATTTATCGTTGCTTCCAGGCGTGTAGATTAAATTTCTTATAACAGTGGCTACACCCGACCCCATTATCCTCTGACGTCTTTTTATGTCTATGACTAAACCTTCCTCGAATCAAAGACAAGAGATCTCCTTTGTAGACTTTATTATCTAATTGGTGATTTGGGTGGTCATTCTTTTTTTTTAATAATCGGGAAAAACCAGGATAAACGTAAGTAAAATGGCCAAGTTTACGCAGGAACATCATTTGAAGGGTTCTGCAGGATATACCTATTAGGCAACCCTACTTCTTTAAATGTGTTTTGACCCGTGTAAAATGTTATAATTTTGCCGTCATTAATGAAATGTAAAATACAAAATCTAATCGAACCATTAGCCGCCTCTACGTTGGTCAATTCTTCACATGGCCGTGGTATCAGTTACTGTAATGTCAATTAAAAAATGACAATGAATAGATGTCCGACATAAATTTGAATTTCTTAGACTTTTTTTAAAAAGAAATATTTCTGTATGATATTTCGTAGGAATACGAATATTTGTTCAGTTCAGTAAAAAAGAAATGGATAAATGGTCTAGTGAAGGGAATAATTGGCTTGATTAAAAATTTTCAATCCCCATTTAAAAATTAAGATGACGCTCTTGAGTTTACGAAAATAATGATTTCATTATATAGGACCTGCAGTTTTCACCAAATACTTATATTAATATTTTCCGGGTTTATAGTTATGAACAATTTTCCCGATTTCTCATCTTCAATAGTGATACACCCATTAGTAGTATCGGGTCTTTTTTTTACCATTTACGCTGAAATTCGACTTTCCCTAATAGAGGTATAAATATTCCCTGAGTATATTATTTTATACACTCTGATTTTACGTATTTCAATCTGTGCTTTGACAACTCAAATTTAACGAACTTTGAACTTGTTTGAAGGTATTACATAGTTAATAACTCTAATTTATTATATATTTGTACTGCCTGTAAAATCAGTAGAGTTTTTAATGCAAATGTCACTCCAGATGTTTTATTAACCTTTATTTTGAAATTCTTCGTTAGTTAATAGTTCAAAGTATAATATATAGGTATATAAATATAATGCCTTTTTTTGTACTTTAGGTAGGCAAGTTGAAAGAGCTATTAGTTTTATAATGACGCATTTTAATTCTCGGGAAAATATAATTGTAAGTAGATATAGTAAATAATAAATGTGAACAACATTTTCTAATTTGGGAATAGTTATCGAACGCACAATAATATGATATCTACTTAGGTTTTTTTTTTTTTTCAAACCTAGTAAATAGTCAAAAATGAACATGGTTAACATATGCATTTAAATACTAAGTACGTTTTTCGAATGCAACGATGTAGGATTTTTTTAAATTTAAATTATAATACTTTATAATTCATAAGAATTATAAAACAATAACTTAAAAATTTAAATGTCTATTTTGCAGCAACCATGATCAGGTCAATTTTGAAAAAAAAAAAAAAAAACATGATTCTATCACTTTTTGAAAGAAAGGTCGCATTTAAAAAGAATGACATACTTCGCAAGAAGGCTACTCTTGTAGATGAGAAATAGGGAATATAATGTATACGCGATGATTGAACAAAAACGAAAATTGATTCCCGGTGGAGTTCGGTTATATATATTTTAAAATGCCGTAATATTTACGATTTTCGTCAAAATTAGATATTAAAATACTTATGAAAAAAATTCTACATTACACTGAATTTTTATTTTGTGATGTCACATATGTGACCCATGGTGTACGACTTATAATGAACCTCTTGTTAAATTTTTTAAGCATTTCTGTTTGGTACCTACCAAATAAAAATTACGTAAAAAACTCGCAAAATTAAAATATTTATAAATAGCTCAAAAATAGCTAAAATATATTGAACATTTGACCATGTCTAGAAAAGGCAAATATTAGTGTTCTGTTCAAATTTCAAGTCTCTCCGGATATTTTAAAATCGCTTCGCTCAGAATCTTAAATGTGGAAATTTTTCATTGTGATGAATATTCGAAAAATTACAAAAATACAAATCGGTTTTGAAGCTTTTCATATCACTACTTACTACAACATACCGTACATCATATCAATTATAAGTAAATCTTGTGCGTACCATAAATTATATTAAAGTTTTCACTTATAAATTATTTAACTACCTAAGTACTTAAGTACCTATATATATATATATCAACATTTGACAACTTCTACAAAAATTACTAATCTTTAGTGATTGATATCAACTGGAGATTGACCATTCGATGAAATTATATAAGTAAACATAAAACAGTGCTGCAAAACAAACACGGTTTTACTTTTAAAACAAATAAAATGAAATAAACTGGCCAGGAGTAATTGCGTTAGCCTGATAAATAATTAGCAGCAGGTAAATTCGAATTCGTCGGAGAATGATAACAATTAATAATATATGAAACGCCAAAATCGTAAACGATATGCCGTTATGTCTGTTCTGCAGACCTAAAATTATACATATTACATTATTTCTGGACATGTCCATTGACCACTATGCTCTGGATAATAATTTTTATTATACTTAAAAGTGAGAATATACAAGTAATTAATAATGCAAATGGATAGGGTACTGAAAAAGTATAGAAAAATGTATTGACCACTAAAAAAAATATATAGAAACTCGTTATAAATATTAAACTATACCCCCGTAATCACGTTTTTGAAACTCAAGAAACAAACAAAAAAAAAAACAAAAAATGATCGAATAGAAACACTTGGGAATTGGAAACTTGTTATTTTTTGTACTTTTTTCATCAGCCTGCAATCAATGATGATCAGTTGTTAGTCCGGTAGAAAAATATATCGTATACATAACGGGATGGTTTTCAAAACTAATTTATGGTTCAATTCATAAAATATTAGCAGTTATTTCTGAAGTTTCCCCACGGATAAAAATCTGAATGCGAAACGATATTAATTGGTTTTCTCGAGCTAGGTGTATATGTTTGTGTTTCTATGCGATTCTATAATATAGTGGCTTATTAATTTTGTAGCAGCAAGTTATGTATATTTATTGTTGGTACCTATTTTATTAAAATTTTCCGCGGACTAGTTGTTGAAATGTCGACGACATATATTGTGGTGTAGTTATTGCTTTACGGATTTATTATATAATTGCAGTACAAGACTATATTATGATAAGTATACGAAATACACGAGTATAATTAATATGTTAATACTATACAATTTTATAATTTATATTTTATTACTTAAAAAAATTCTTATGAACGATGTGATAAATTTAAAATAAAATAAAAGACTATGGGTTCGTGCTAATAGCATATTTAGGATTTTTCCGAGGAGAGAGAAATTGAATTTGAAAATTGTACCAACGTGTACCTAAGCTAAAAAAAAAGGAACAATTTTTAACTTATATATTTTTGTAAGTAACGTATTCTATGTATACACCATACCTAGATTGGTAATTATTATTAATTGATTTCCTATTTAAAGGGACTTATTTAATCGCCTTAATATTTCAGTGGTTTGGATATAGGTTTTGTCTTAAACAAGAAAATGTACACGTTCATGTTTTATTTTTTGATAAATTAACATTATTAACTATATTATAACCTAACTGAAAAAACAAATTTTTCATTTTTCCTACGAAAAATTAAATCTCTCTCCGTAAATATGCCACTGGTTAGAGCACTCAACCAATTAGGTATTTATTGAAAAACACGTCAGACGAAAAATTGTGAACATTTGAACTGTTTCGAACTGTATACATAGAGTTTATTGCGAATTTTACGGAAATATCTGTAATTTCTTCAATAGTTAAATATTTAAAATTTGAACGATAAAATAGAGGTTTGGTATCTATAATTTTTCGGTCTTCCTTTCGCCTTCATTCATTGTACGACTATTCATTACAACTTTTACTGCTTCTGTTTCGTATCTCCTCATGATATGCTCTAGGTATTTGGTACATAAAAAATTACATTATCGAAATATTATAATATATACTTTTATATATCGTATATTACGAGTCAATATTATTATTATTATTATATATTTATAGTATCAAATAAAACGGATTAGAAACCAATATTTCAATTTGAGTGTACCTAGCTATTGAATGATTCGGAAAATTGAATACGGATACCTACGTATACCATATGAAATCTATATAACCTATCAAAAAAATATACCGCTTATGAAGTAATATTCTATAATAATAAATAATACGTGTATTAACTAGCATTACTATGTCATTTTGACAAATAAATAAACGACAAATATCATATGTTTCTATTATAGACTTGGGTGTTTGCTCGTGATTTATGGTTTAAAACTATATATATTTCTCGCATACAATTTTTGATTATATTTTTTGTTGTAACTAACCAATTTAAAAATATTTTAATATTATTTATAATGTACCAAAAAAAAAAAAAAAAAAAACACTATGTACTTATCGAAATTATACAAGTATAATATTATTCGGTGTTCGAGTAAAATTAATGTATTACTTTTTGAAACACGGGAATTATTACTTCCATTAAAGTAACGACAGTGACCATTTTTTGATTATAAAATAAATAATAATACGATATGTATTTTAATATTAACAATAGGTGAAAATATTATAGTCAACTATTTTGAATATAATTATTGGTCAATAGATATAAACCTATACCTATACATATATGTCTATTTAGTATTAAATTTAATAAATAATTATATTCTAAAAGAAAAAAAAAAAATGCAATTTATTAGATAGGCAAGTGTTACAAAATATTATAGTTGTTACCTTTCTGTGATTGTTAAAATGTTGAGTTCTGGGTTCGTCGAAGAGCATAATATCCCGCGTTCTAGCTGGAAACTTTTTTTCAAAATAAAAGTCTATAGGAAAGTGAATAATGGTGATGGATAAAAAAGTCGAAAATGTGTAGAAAGAAGATGTCTGTTAGAAAAAATAATAATAACAAAAACAGTTTGTTCAATTGAGTGGAATTGGTATATAAACGTCTGTGAACGCACAGGTCACGAGTGCCTGATGAGTTTTCAACAATTAATGAGCGCTCGAAAAAAGTCAATACGACATTAGTTATCTTACATATCGAGGACATCCAATAAAAACGCACTATATTAACCGTGGTCAGATAACGACAATCGTCAAGTGACAAAGTACGAAACTGTTATTAATAATTATTAATGGTAGCATAGTAATGTTTTGAACATATGTGCATATGTAGTGTACGACTACTATAGGGGGAGGACTTTCCTGTAAAGACAATATTGTAATGCAATCGGCGTATATTAACCTCAATCTATAATGTATAGTACTTGGCCGGTTTCTATTTATACCTACCAATTAAAAGAGCAATTTTTTTTTTTCTAATTCATTGTTATATATTTTTATTTATACACTCATTGAGAGGGGGCTATTATAGGCAGGTACTGTCTCCGCAGTCAAACTAACGGTCTGTGACATGTAGTAAAATTTCGTTTAATTAATAATTAGAGTTCAGATACGGAGGGGGGAAACGAATTAAAGAGGAGAATATTATTTCCGAGGGCAATACGTTTGCTGTTTTTCTCTAACCTATCGCCAAACAAAAAAAAGCTATTACAGCCGCAACATGTTGTACCTACCTAAGTGTTAGTAAATTTTTTCAAATTATTGCAAATTTCACATTTGACGGTATTATTTAAGACAAAAACAACAACGCGCTATACTCTCGAATATTCTTCTCTTTAAAATGTCGTTATCTATACGCTTAAATTCCAATTTCAACTTAAACGCCTTTACTATTATAACGCCCGCCTATACCTATATAACGTTTAAGTACGTTATAGAATGTAACGCAATTTGCCCGTTAGTCAGACGACGGTAAATGCTAGTGTTGATTATAATAACAATAATAATAATAACAATGATATGAAAAGGTATATAATATTATTATCGTGATAATAATAATATATATTCTATAATATGGGCACTGTTATTGTTGTCACGAATATTCACGGACTAAAATAATAATACAACTACGTCGGTAATGATAACAATAATATTAGCATGACACAGGAATACTGAGTACATACAAGGTATGTATTTATAAACATAATATACATGCAAATATTATGAAAATATTTTTGATTATGGATCGGTCATCGAGAAGCCGATAATATGTATTTTCTAGAAATATATTATACACGGGCACGGTAAATATTTACAATATATTTCGATTTTTATGAAACAAACAAATATTACATTATTTTAACGTATATTTTTGATTTACTCTTGCGTACGAACGTCAAGTGTTTTTATAGATAGGTTTAGATCTACCTACAATTAACACCTCGATCGACAACGTTATTAAAATAAAAATTGTTGTTATTACGAAATACTTATACCTCTACCTATTATTATTGTTGTTTTCTATATAGATTTAATATTATAATATTATTGCTATTTTTTTATTATTTTTTTTTTATATAATTTTAAATCGTCGCGTTTTCCATCGACAGGAAGGTGGTAATAAACAATACGACATTTGAATTATTATTATTATTTTATAGACATTTATTATATTGTTCGAGTTTAATAAGAGGCTTAATAAAAATACGGATCAAATGGCGTTTTACGAAATATTCTACAGGTACTATAATGTTTGCGTTAGATTAGATAATAATATATCGACACAATAATAATTTATTATAACCTATAAGTATATATATAATAATATGTACGTTTATATTTCAATTTCATAATAGGTCCCGTCACAGTTGTCAAAATGTTTACGATATTAAACAAAGAATAAAACAAAACCGTCTATTTTTTTTTGTATCCTTACATTTGTATTATGTATTGTGTTACGACTGACGATTGAAAATGGTATTTAATGACGATTTTTCGTTCAATAAAACCGAATTTGTGCTGTTCATTTTGATATCGGTTAGCTTATTAAAAACTTAAAGGTATAGGAATATAATTGTCAGTGTTTGTATGTTGGTTTTTTTCTCGATATTTTCATTTTTAAGTGAGATACGAGTATACATATAATATGAAACATTACAATTTAAAAATTACCGTATCTTGCTTAAAAATTTAAATATCAAAAGAAAAATAAACAACTTACAAACACAGACGTTGAGATTACCTTTGAGCTTGACAACGGACTATTTCGATTTAATATTAAAACTAACAGATCCGAGTGAAGTATATTTTAAAATACCGCCAGCGGGTGCTAGAAAAGTTTAAGGATAAACAAATAAGCAAAAAAAAAGTCATCATAATCTTTTATGTTAAACCTGACACCTGTCCGTCGAAGTTCACAGGTTTGATTTAAAAATATTCATTTGCACAACTTTTAAAATTAATGCAAATAATGGTCATGCGTCTGGTGCGTGTGTATCTCTCGCACCCCCTAGGGACGACTCTGGTACACGATTTTACGTTATTCTGTTCTTCCGATCGGTATGATGTCATCATCATATTATATTAATATTATCTATCGTTTAATTTACAACACCGCGCACTACCGATATTGATCACAATAATTGTTGTTTTTTTCGTGATGTCGTTTTTGTCAGAAAATATTTGACATAAGATATAGATCATAGATCGTTATTTTTATTACATACCTCAGGGAGGCATAAGCCGTATGATTGCGGGTCAAGTGAAACCGGGGAACCGAGCTCCTACCTTCAGAAAACCCGGATGGGTGATTCCAGTAGGTCTATGGTGTTGTCTTCGTAGGGTATACGAATTCACATTATAGATGATAACACCACTCTCCCTACTAGAAGGGATCAGAATTCTACTCCCACGGTACTTCTACTTGTTATAAGAGGCGACAAATAGAGTTGCGTCACGTCCACAGCCGGTGTAAAATTCTGTCAAACAGTAAACTGTTTGTTTCTAAACTAGACTTTAGCGGATCATCCTATCTTGAATGTTTGTAGGAACAATAAGTGAGATGAGGTACCATAGAGCATGATGTTTGTAAATGATTTAGCTTTAATAGAAAAAAATCTGAAATAAGGAACAATAGGCTTGAAGAATGGAGATTAGTATATGAAGGAAAGGGACTAAAGGTAAGTAGAAGTAAAACAGAGAATGAGTTTGAAGAAACAGGACAAGACAGTTAATGACAATAGTTGGTTATAGGCGAGGTTGAGTGTTTTAAGTACCTAGGATCTTTTATACATAAGAACGTCAACTTTCATGAAGATGTGAAATATAGGATAAGGTATGGTTGGATAGAGTGGAGAGAAGTTTCAGGTGTTTTATGTAGGAGGATAGTGGTGGAGAGGACAACTGAAAAAAAGGTGGTTGGATGCGATTGAGAATGATATGAGGACAGCCAATGTATGCGAGGTAAGAGATCGGGTCAAGTGGAAGTTTAGAACGATAGGCCGACTTCAAATAGTTGGAATGATGGCGAAGGCGAAGAAGAAAAAGGGTATTTTTATTACAAACAGTATTATATTATTATGTAGGTGGTAATCTTAGAGATGGCGAGGTTTTGAAATATTACGGTGATCCAGCGATTATTATCTATGATAAGATTTTGAGTGAAATTGAATTTGATTTTCTTTTTTTTTCAGCTATTATTATTATTATAAAATCGTTTATTGGATGTTGTTGATAATATTTTCAATATTTTATTCTTATTCTAATATTTCATAAACCATAGACATATAAATACCAACTACTTATTACAAGAGAATTACTTAAAGAGAATTTTTTTCTAAAAATGTTGATATGCATAATATGAATGCATTAATATTTGATTTACTGATTATAAGTAATAAAAGAAAGAGTATATAGAAAAAAGTTATTAACTGAAAATATGCATGTAATGCATTTTCATCCCAATTATTTAGGGTCAGCCAAATATGAAATGTATTACCTTTTAAAAATTTTTTTTTTTTGCAAATCTCTGTTGAAATTGTAGTGAGGGAGAGAGGTTGACATTTAAAAATTAAAAGTTTATACTTACTACAGATATAATTATAAGGGATAACAATATTTGAATAAAGTGATAAAATATCGCTTATATAATTCCATATAATAATTGTAAAATCAGAAATCAAATTCACTTAAAATCGCTGGATCGTGATAAAAAAAGTTACCTCGTTTGACTTAAATAGTTTCACATGTAATATTTTAACCTGATGGACTCCAATTGAAATTACAGTAGTTACAATTATTATTATTATTATGTGACCTTCTGAAATGAACACTTCACTAAAAGGGAATCTGAAAACATTTGATTACCTACACTTCAAGTTTTATGAGTTTAAAAGACGCCATAGGATAATGGGAATGGATGCAGTCACTGTTATAGATAATTTAATATATACCTGTAAGCAACAATAAATCGTTGCTTATGAAAAAACAATTCTGAGCAGATTTCAGTTGATGATGATGCTTTGTCAACAATGTATGTCATTTTATAGTAAAATAAATAGGCTTAATATTTTTTCTTTACTAATATTTGTTTAATGTTGTATCGATTTTTCCAGTTTTCCTACGTTTTTCCCGGTTTTCCCATGTTTTATCAAGGTTTTTCACATTTGCTGAGAAAACTCTTGGAAAAATTAGAAAATAAACTCTTTAAAGTACCACCTTAGTGAAATTTCCTTTTAGAAACATAGCTATCTTTATAAGTTGGAGCAGAATTGCTGATTGAAAAGTTGTGCACAAAAAAAAAAGAAATCGTAGTATTTTAATAATATATTTCTTATATTTTCCCGGTTTTCCTCGGTTTTTTTTTAGTTTTTCAAATTTGATGAGAAAACTCCTGAGAAAACCGAAAAATCACCTCACTAAAGTACCTTCCCTCACCGATTTCTTTTTAGAAAAGGCGCCACACTTAAAAATCTGAGCAAATCTTCTGGTAAAAAAATTACGCATAGATAAAATAAAAAAATAAACATTTTTCCAAAACTATAAGCTTCTTCGCTCCACTCATAATCTAATATTATTAGTAAAGATAAACAAATTACACTACAAGTGTCGAAGATGTTTTTTAAAAAAAAAATAAGACTTTAAATCTGGTGCTTAAAATACGTATTTCCATTCAAAAAAATGTAATTTTTATTGCGCTACGGTTAACATTTTGAAAATGACTCGAAACGTGTTATTTTGAC